TTGGTACGACCTCATTGACACTCCATCTCCCTTGCTGAATTCCCCGATTAGTGGTTACGCATTTTAAAAAACAATTCCGAACATTAACGGGAGATGCTTGTTGAAGTAGGTTATTGAAGTTAAAGTGAACAACATATATACTTAGGGTTAAGAGGAAAGTGAGTTATGTAAATCATTTTTGAATTTTTAATTGCGAAATGGATGATCTATGGGTTCCCCTCGTTTTATAACGTCACACGGAGGCCGGAGTATTTTTCGGGGCATTTTTAGGATTTTTCTACTATTTATTGCATTTTTTCAAAGATTTTTGCACTAAAAAAGCCAAAATAATTGCCAAATGGACACCTGGCGCGATCTCAGCCCCTCACCTTTCACCCCTTGACAAGTGTGCGTCAGTCAACATGGCCACATCCTTACCTTTTACCCTAAATTATTATTTTATGACTTTTTCTTAGAAAATTCATAACTAAATACACAAAAATCACAATAATGTTCCGAAAATTGCTACGACCTCATTGACACTTCATCTTCCTCCTGAATTCCCTGTTTCATGGTTACGCTACATTAGTATTTTATTATTATTTATCCAAAATTATTTTTATTATTATTGTTATATTACTTGTTAGCTTGTACATTTGTTAATTATATTTACTCCAAATTTTTAATTTTATTTTATTTTCCGTGTGAATAGACCATTTCTGGTGCTAATCAGTTTCTCTCTTCTTCAATTTGTTAATGTTTTTTCTTTTTTAGGTGTAAGGGATGTTTTCAAACATAAAATGGAAATATACAAGCCATCCATTCTACAACATCAGGAAATAATTATTCAAAGTCTTTCACTGTTCAAGTTTTGCTTAAGAAACGTGTAACCCAATCATTTGGGATATGCTAAGTGGGAAAATGTCATTCCCAAGAACCGGTGAAAAGACACATACTCACTTCATGCATGCGTTTTCGTTTACCAAATATTAAGATTGCAGTTGTGCAAAATATCTGTGTCAGTAAAATGTCATTCTTAGCCGTCAATTATGTCAGTAATAATTCCACTATATAGCAAATATTATACATTTATATATAAAACGGGCTAGGACAGCACAAACACCAGACAAAATAGATTAAAACATGAAATAGAAAACAACATTTGTAGAACATAGACACGCATAAAAACCGTAGAAACATACTCCAACTAATTATAAGGGTATGGATTCCCTGGCACAACATAGACACGCATCACCTTGAACCAAAAAACACTCTCACGGTGCCATTTGCATCGATTGCAACAAGTCCAGAAGGCAGGATTGATCTTTTCTTCACTAGGCCAGCCTGGAATAACAAAACACCAGTCGTTGTTGTTACAAGCGCTGCACTGATTGAACTTAATCTTCCCATAGTGAAACATATCTACGATATGTCTTCCAACAGAGAAAATTCCGCTTAATCGTCGTCTCAAAGCATCCCTGGTTCCTTTCATATCAATGTTGTTACGTTGATTCAAAGAACACAAGAATTCTAATGCATCCTCTTTTGACTGACCAATTCCGGACATGCCAAGTAGTCCAACTAGATATGACGCTTCCATATGGCCTGCCGTGGCTGCAACGCGCATCCCAGACAATGCTTCCACATTACCCTGCCTGAAAAACATGTCGAACGCTTCTCTAAATATCGCCTCAGGGTTCTGGCAAGCCCTGCATTGGTCCACGAAATGCCGGACCTGCGTTGCGGCATAGTACCAGTTAGGATGGTCTTGGTACTTTTCCATTGAAATTGTGTTCCACACTTGTGGAGTGTTTGCCAACGTATTGAACAATCGGCACACACATGCCATACGAAAGAGATCTTCCGAGGAGTTGGTTGCCACGTATAACATCACTTTAAACCAAGCTAATTTCGGGATGAAGGCTTGAGGCACATCCGGATCGAGATGCTTCCTTCTCTTTCCTCCGACTGTAGTGTAATGTTTGGAATTCATTGAAATATTTTTGGAATGGAACGATTTGAGGACTGCAAGAGGGGAGAAATGAGAATATACGGGGTTTTGGGTTTGTTTTAGCCTCTGGTTGCACTGTTCTGAAAAGGTGTTTCCTTGGGGTTTTACCAAGTTGACCCTTTTTAAAGAAACTGAACTCAACACCCAAAACATAAGACAGGCGAAGGGAAAACGTCATCAAAATGCAAAGGGAGTCAGACCGTCCAAAAGTCAATTAATAACCTATTTCCATAGCCATTGTTAGGCTTTTCCCGCCATTAAATTCATTGATACAAATGTGATGGATTACTGACTAGTGACAGAAGGTCCCATCAGATACTTTTTCATTTTCCCACACCACACTACCCCTATTAAATGACGGATTCTTATCCAACTAGTTGCCTTAATGAAATATAAAGAAAATAATATATTTAAAGCAGTGTCCCCTCAATTGTAAGATTAATTATTGTTTGTGAAATAGTATATCGCTTATCGGAGTAAAATGTGTCACAATTCTGACGGTACAGGTGTCCAGATCGTGACCAACCCACCCACACACAGAAAAGAAGGATATAATTCGATTTGGGCAGAGATGAGAGAGAGCTGAGTGAGAAGTTTAGGGTTATGACTTATGAGTGAAGGGGTATAACTGAGAAGGTATGAGTCCGAAGAGGTTTTAGTGAGAAGATCTGAGTGAGAAGAGGTACAAGTGATAAGATTCAACATGTCTTCGTCTTCATCTCCCGCTCAAACAAAGAGGTGTCAGTATTGTGGAGCTGCAATGGTGCTTCGGGTTTCAAAATCAGATAAAAATCGAGGGAAGCCATTTTGGAAGTGTCTAACCTCCTATGTAAGTTCTCATTTCCAGAATATGTATGTGGGTGAAAAAAAATCCTAGGTCTAACTCTGACAGAATTATTTTGCATATATGATGCCTGCAATTAGGGAGCCACCAGTTGCAATGGATTCGAATGGGTTGATGTAACCTCCGCTGAAGCAGATCAGCAAGCTGACACGTATGATGCTACAGTGCTTAATATGCTGAAGTCCATTAAGGACTTGGTATTAGTTTTATTAGTTGTATCAATTGTCATATTATTTGTTCTTTTAATGACCAATTAAGTGCACGGTTTCAAGGATTGTAAAAGTTCTCCCCAAAAACACATGTTGCACGCACCACCAATGACTTTTCAAACCCAATTTGTAATTTTTGTTATTGAAATAGGTGGATTAGCATTGAGTTTAAATTATTGTTTGAAACAAAAGCATTTACTTGTCAGAAACCCAGTAAAAACTTTCCTAGACTTACTTTACAAAAATAAAGTCATACGAAGACGATAAAATGACAATACAGGGCCAATACGATGCAATAATAAGACAATACCTTTTTTTTAAGATTGCATAATTATTCAGTGTATATAGATTGTTTATTGATTGTTTACTGCATGTAAATCGCATGATATTGACTGTTTATTGAAGGTTCATTAACTGCATGTATTTCGCATGTTATTACTCCGATATTGAGTGTTTATTGAAGGTTTATTGATTGTTTACATGTTTCGTGAAGGTTTCATGATTGTTAACTGCATGTATTTCACATGTTATTGAACCGATATTGAAGGTTTATTGAAAGTTGATTGAGTGTTTACTGCATGTATATCGCATGTTATTGCTCCAATATTGCAAGTTTATTGGGGGCAAAAGTAGGACTCCAGTTAGATTTAAGGGGGGAAACGGTCCTTATTCTTTGTTTTCGTAGGAAGAACAACTTAAGTAGAATTTCCTATTCAATACGACTTCCTTATGGTTGATGTAATTGGGGACTGATGTATATTGCATGTCTATTGCGTGTATATTTCATATCTATTGCGTGTATATTGCTTGTCTGTTGCCTGTGTATTGTTATTTATTTCCGTCGTAAGCAATACAAATCAATACAGACGCAATAAATGTAAAGATATGCACGCAATAGACAAGCAATATAGACCCAACAGACATGCAATATAGACGCACCAATATACATTACTGTTATGTTACTCAGCTGCCCAAAACCAATAAAATAAAGAAAATCAACCAATTTATTAACCGATTATAAAGGAGAGAGGGATTCAAACCCGAGGGGCAGTGCGGAACCAATAGGGAGTTTTTAGAGCATTGCACCTGGGGACATTTTTTCATGTGTTTCTATAAGGAGGGCATGGTTGAATAAAATATTGGAGGCGAGGCCATAGCAGCCTATTCCCCTTACAGAATTACCTTATTAAGATGCAACCCATTGCGATTAAGTCAAGGCATGTTGAACGGCTTAAAGATTGGGATCTGATATTTGGAATGGTGGCTTGGATAAATGATGACATATCACTTTGCAATGATGTAATACACTTAAAAAGCCATCAGTCCCTATGTGAATATGCATTCTTCAAATCCAAATTCACATATGCAGTCTTCAAATCCCAATTCAATGCAGTTTGGTTGAGGTTAGGTAAATGTCGTGAAGGAGTTAGGCCAATATTACACCGATGTTTGTTTCATTACATCAAAAAAAACTTTACACTCCATATGCACATTCTATGTATGGGAATGGCATGTGTCTAACTTCAAAAACGCATCTGCCTATCCATTTAGATTGCCCACGTGCAATAGATTTACAGATCCAGTTACTTTTCTCCTCTCCAACCCTCAGCATCTCCATTTCAGAGTCTTCATTTTTCTATGCTCTGCAACCAGCTCCATATACATTTCGCACAATATGAGAATAAACATAGCGTAATATCACACTAATCAAAATGAAAGCATGCATCCGCTATAATATTTGCCACTATTTTGGTTCTAATTGTTATTGTCCAGTAACTTAAATCTAAATTTCTGTACACAAATACACTAAGATTGAGAAAGACGAAGAAGAATTCAGGAGCAGAGGTGGAATTCGAAAAGGACCCATGGGTCTCTATTGTGTATTTACATGACTTTGAAATTTGACATTCCCAAAACCTATTTCATCATCATGTGCCTAAACCAAGTTCAACCGATATCATGGCATGTAAGCATCTCCCCGTGCAATTTCTGCAGCCAACTTCAACCGAAAAAATGGCATGTTCTGCGAGGTGCAAGTAGCTAAGGAAATCTCAGCACTCAACAGCTCAATGTACTTCAACACGAACATACCACAATCGCCTCTGAAGCAAAACAAGAACTCGATCAATTCAACTAATGACATTCTAACATAATTGACAAATTAAAGTAATAAAATTAAATAAAAAGTTGTGCTCACTGATTAGCCTGTTGTGGAACATCCACACGATGTATTGGCCATGGACACCACCAATCTCGGGTGCACTCGTTCGCGTAAACACCTTCTTCATAAAAGTCGAGGGTGTGCAGAAGATTTGGAATCGTAATTGACAGGGGGCCGAGTTCTTCCTTTAAGCTCTGATCTGGAATGAGTGAAACCATTGAATCGTAGACTTTGATTTCACACTGAATCAGATCAATCTCTAGAGCCACCCAATGCTTATATTTTTGCAACATACAAGGTACATACACCTTATACGTGTTCTGCCAATCCAATCCACAAGCCGGAACCTTGCCATTTACAACGTTCACTAAACTGGTTCTAATTTTCCACCCAACTTGCTCTTTTTTCCTTTTATTATCCGCAAAGCAAGTATGGATGTGATTCTGTGAAATAGAAAACAATCAATGGTTAAACAACTCCACAAAGCAAGTATGGATAATTTGTAATTATTAACTGCACTTGGTCAAGGCCTATGCCATACTGATGTAGCACAGCCCTGGGTGTGTTAGTTTAAACACTTAGAGCAATAAGACATAACAGATAAGAAAAGCTGAAGGGAAGAAAAGGTAGAAGGCAGGCAGAAATCAGAGAGTTTAAAGGAATGTTTAATCAATATTCAAATCTGAATTGTAAAGAACTACATAGGGGTATTTATAGCAAACTAAAACCTAGAGAGAATAGAATTAAAATCCCCAGGTAAAACAGAAATCCTATTCCTAATAAAATAGGAAACTTAGAAATCCTAATAGGATTTGGAAAACTAACTTAGAAATCCTACTAGGATTTGGAAAACTAAAGAATATAGGAAACTAACAAATCAATTAGGAAACTAAACAATTTAGGTCCTATGCATCCTGCATCACATACCATAAAAAATACATCGGTCGTTGTCCAATCCGATATTTCTACTTCCTCCAACTGTTGTTGTCGCTTCCGGATGAGATACAAGCCCAAATCAATGTGCTGCACATGTTTTCCTTGTCAATCTCATAATCTATGCACATTCAAACAAATGCATAATCAATTAAACTTACATCTCCTTTCAGCCAACCGTCAGCTTTGACGAGGGAAGCGAAGAATTCAATCTCAGCTTCCACGTTGCCAAATTGCATCACCAAACTATGAATATAAAAAAGTTTTAGAACACAACAATTAAAAAATATATACACTCATGCCTTCTATCTCAAAAAACAAAGGACTTACTTTGGGTTATGGCGCCATTCCGAACAAAGTTTCAGCAATTTCACCATATCATCATGCGGAATCGCCTTCATTGGGTCTAACGTCCGAAGTCCGGTTGTCTTTGGCAAATTTTTTTTAACCACTTCACTAGCTTCAACGATCTTCCACATAGGAATAATCCTCTTCCTCTTCCGTAATTGGACCCCTCGTTCCACACCTTGACCTTCATCATTCAACCAAACGTTCAACTGAGATAACACAGCTGTAGGTTGATCCAAATCAATGTCCCCGAGAGTAACCTCAACCTTTGTCCCCTCCGTGCTCTCGCCAATGTCATCGCCAACCAACATAACTTCATCATCCTCTTCCTCACATTGGTTTCTTTGCACTTCCTTTTCCTCACTTCTCTGTCTTTTCACTTCCTTTCCTTTTTTTTTTTTTTTTTTTTTTGATCCTCTCCCTCACTGCTTTTTCTTTGCAGTTCTTCCTCTCCCTCAATGCTCTTTCTTTGCGCTTCCTCTCCTTTGCTGCTTTTTATTTTCACTTGCTCTCCCTCACTTCTTTTCCTTTGAGCTTCCTCTACCTCCCTTGGTTTTCTTTGCACTTCACCTCCTTCAATCCCCTTCTCTTCCTTTTCCTCTCCCTCATTTCTCTTACTTGGCACTTCACCCCCTTCAATCCCCTCCTCTTCCTTTTCCTCTCCCTCATTTGTCTTACTTGCCCCTTCACCCCTTTCAATCCCCTCCTCTTCCTTGTCCTCTCCCTCATTTCTGTTATTTGGCCCTTCACCCCCTTCAATGTCCTCCTCTTCATTTTCCTCTCCTTCATTTCTATTACTTGGCCCTTCATCCCATTGCATGCCATCCACTTCCTCATATCCCTTAAATAGATGTGACACGACACAACGATTCGTCCTCTCTTTCAGTAAAGCTATGTCCCTTCTCACTTCCTGCTCAAAATGAGGACCTAAACAGTGGCCCAAAATTTTTTCCATCCGTATGACCTTTAACTCAAGGACGTCCTTTTCCCGCTTTACTTGAAACAACTCGGACCTCAACAAGCTTACCGCCTTGTTCAACTCATCAAGGTCAGCACATGAAGAAGGAATTGACTCTGCCGAGACAACAGCAGGGCGACCCTGTGGCCAACTCCAATATGGTTGTCTCATTTCCTCTTCACTTGGACATAGCGCCCGCAACTAAACTGACTGTTTCAGAAAACAGACAAGAGTCATATGCAATCATTCTACTTCATAATTTCATTGAATCTTAAATAGTTCCAAGGGCTGCAAACCAAACCTCTTTGCTCTGGAAAAAATAATTGTTCAACTTTCTCATCTCGGGAACAGACGTAGTAGTTCTCCATCGCAAAATACGCGGGAGAGCTGTCGGATCAACAACCTTGCAGTAATTCAGGTCCACCATTCTAGGAATTAATTCATATACCCAAATCTACACAATTCACAGGACACAAGTTATTATTTAAGTTTTAAAGTCAACAAAACATAACGACATGAACATTATTACCATGTACCTGGAAAGCATACGTGAAACCTTTAAAACTCCAGCCACCCCTTTGCACTTCACCATGGTTATCCTTCTTGCCCTTCTCATTTCTCCGGCTTGTTCCGGTTACCTTACATTTCCCCTTTCCTCTTCCCTCTTCATTTTCAAAGCTTTTCACATACTTTGTTGGTGCAGAAAACAGATTGTCTTGGGTTTTGTCAAACGACACCGAACCCCATGGAAACCTGTTGAACGCATCCAAGTCCTCTACAAGGGTCAGGTAATTTAGATTGATGTTCAAATGTTTGTCCCTTCCCAAAACCACTAACTCAGCAAAGTAAACAAGAGCTAGCTTGTAGACGTCATCTTCCTCTGTGCACCTCACAAATGCTTCTTCTAAAGCATTACATGTAATTCCTTCGTCTATAAAATATCTTTTCTGAAGTCTAATTTCATCACTTTCTCCACTGGAAACTTCAGGCACTTCCCCAAAACGAAGCCCTGAGATCAAACAGAAATCCTGACGAGTGAACTGAGCAACGTCGCACCCTATTAAGAAACTCAGTCCATCCAAGTCTTTCACACCCTGCCCCGCTACTCTACGCAACACAACCCCATGCACAATCTGCCCGCTAAACTGAATCTTATCTATATTCAGAAGATGGCCAAAGCATGATGTCTTGAATTGTTCTAATTGTTCGGCACTCAACTTCGCTCGAATTACAGCTAGGGATGAATTTGCATGTGAGCAGTTGTTCACCCGTGAGGAATATGCCTCTGACTCTGGCCATACCAGCTCAACGTTGGATCCCATTTCCTGAAATACAAGATGAAATAACGTGAACACATATACTACCACGTATTTGCACAATCACATTGGTATTTACACAACTAGTCAACCAGCACATTACAAATTTTACAAAGTACATGCGCATAGGGATTACTGATCACAGGCTTTAACATCATCAAAGCAATATGACATATTTTGTGCAAATACCTGTTAATGCAATGATTCTGTGAATTACAAGCACTAGCATGTGTTTTATTTATGGATCCAAACTCCAATCAATGGTTGATGCATGAGTGAGTGTGAGTGCAATCTAGGCAAGTTCTGCACTTCACACACATGACAATTATTGTCATTTCATACACAACACAAAATAAATAAATAAATAAATGAGAAAGATGGTGGAAGGAAGCAAAGCAAAGCATCTGCTCTGCTATCTGCTCGCTAAGCCATTGCCACATCCTTCTTTCTTTCTAGCTTTTTCTTCAGTCAGCCATAATCGTCATAGATCAACCTTTTTTCAAATGCTTTGCACTTTTATTCATGAGTTTATTATTATCTGTTCTCATTTTTAACAGGCAAATTTAGTAACAACGGAAATAATATTTATTTCAAAAATTATATATATTCTAGCTCCAGAGAGATAATCTGCACTCTGCACTGCTTCAAATGTGGAAGGTTTTGAGGGCCTCCTCCAATTCAACACCATTACCTTATTCATATCATTATTGACATGTTATTGACATGTTATTGACTTTATATTCATTCGTTTTTTAACATATACCCAAGCAAAAATTAACATGCAAGTGAAGCACAAAGAAGAGATGCCAAATCTAACAACATTCATGGTACAAATTGGGGAAAACGGTTACTCTAACCCTAAACTCAAATTCCATAAATTACTCACCAAATGCTGGTTATTGAACAATCGCAAGGTGTCTGTGTTGGGTCTTTGTGCGGCTTTGCTCCACAAATGGAACCTATCACTTCCAACGAATACGGCTTCTCTCCTTCCCCTTCCACTGCTTCGTCTTTTCACTGTTTCAGAATCCACGCCTTTGCTCCTTCCTCTCAAAATAAATACTTTTTCACGGTTTAGATAGTGGAGTTGCGTTCAACCGTCGTTAACCTTTGCCTTCAACCGTCGTTGCCCGTTGCCTTCAACCGTTTCTCAGAGCTTAGCGGTTTCTCTCAGCTATGAGTTTGAGATCAATGGGTTTTTTCTGTTCAAACTTCGAACTTTCTTTTTTTTTTTTTTTTTTTTGTTGTTGGGACCAACTTCATTGCTGGATATTAAATTCGGGTTTGGGTTCCTCACCTACCCGATTGCACAACTTTATCCCAATTCTCCCCAGCCCTTGGATTGATCCAATGACTATAAAGTGAACCCCTTATAACTTACCCCTTATAACTTACCCCTCATTATAGTCTGGCCGATCAAATAGGAGCAACTTAGCCCGAAAATATTGTGCAAGGGTTCAAAAATGGGCTTTGTTTTAGAATGGGCTATTTTATTTTGGACAGTCTTCATAAAATATAGTCTAGACTCTAGAAGCAGAGAGTCAACAAAACCAAGCGGGTAAGACCCAGTTGTGTAGCGGGAACAGAGGGAAAAAAGAAACAAGCCCAAGAAGCTCAAACTGCGTGCTTATAGCTGAAACAGAAGACGACGTCGCTTTACCTCCTGGGAATTTCGGAAAGTCTGGGACTTTTTTTGAATTTGAAGCCACTCTCTGCAGAAACAAGATTTGTAATTGTGACCGGTTCCCTTCAACGGAAGGTCAAGACGGTGCGTTTCGAGCCCTGAAACTCACCTGACTCGTTGAGTTTCAGTGCAAAACCCTAGAACGACTCAAATCGCACGCAGGGAACTCACCACTCCAAGTGAGTAAGGGTTTCGCAGTCAAATGTTGGAACTTTGTTTCGATTTAGTGCTAAATTCCATGCGATTAAATACGAATTAAACAGCGATTGATGCTTGAGATTGTTTAGTGTTTTCTGTTAGTTAGTTTTTGGGATTGGGTGGGAAGGGGAGAGCATTGTCGTATAAATGTAGCAAAGGTGTTTGATATTAAGTCAGTGAGAAAGAAAATAAAGTCTCAGACAGGGGCTTCCCTGCAGCAAGAAAGTCCCTTTATTTTTCGTTGTGATCATTCAAGATCACCATGAATGATCAGCTTCACCAGTCGGGCTGGTGCATATATAAACAATGTTCATTGGCATAGTATGGCTTTTCTAATCAGCCAGCTAAGTAGTTTTCTTGTATGTCTTTATTCAATTGGTTATCTGAGATTGCCACCTTCTTGTTTGGAAGACATGTGAACTTAGATATTTGCAGAACCCATTTTTGTTCTTTCAATTTAATAGTGCTAGTGTAACGTATGCAGGTGCTTCTTTCGTACGGTTTGTATGTTTAGCTAGGTTAAATTTTTTAGGAGATAAATGTTTTTTTGTATTTTATTTTACACCATTGAATTGTTTCTTGTCTTGGAAAAAGTTAGAGGCTGTCTTCTGTAGATTAAAGATTTAAATCTCTTACAAGTAGCTCAAACTGGCCCTCGATGTACTCAAACAGGCTGAATGGTTGGTCATGTAAAGAACATAAATGGATCTGCTTTTCTTGAGTGAGTTTTATGGTGTGGTGAACAGAGTGGCTGAACGATTTGTCTGTTACCTAGATCATCCGTTCTGTCATGGCTGCCTCTTCTTTTGGTTCTTTAGGCATGTGAATCCATCCTATTAATTATGTTCTTAAGAGATGCGTTGTCTCAAATTCATCCGTGTTTTTAGGGTAGATTGCTGGGAGATTGTGTGACAATCTACTCACCTGTGTTGTACGAACATGGGACTACTACAGCAAGCCTTTCTTTGTTGCACCAGCCATGAACACCTTGATGTGGAAGAATCGCTTCATGGAGCGACATATCATGTCAACTGGTGAACTTGGAGTGTCACTCATCCCTCCTGTCACAAGGAGGCTGGCTTGTGGGGATTACGGGAATGGAGCAATGGCTGAACCCTCTTTGATTTATTATGCTGTAAGACTCTTTTTTGAGTCACGAGTACAACAAAGTGGTAGTATTGTTTAGGAACCAGTATAATAGTAAAGAAAAGATGCCACCATCGTGAGATCAGATTACATAATTTGACTTGAGAGACCCAGTGACAAAATTTGGCTTGGTATGCATACTAGAATTGTTTTTGCGGGTCATTTGATTTTGTGTTTTGGTATGTGAACCAGGCTAATTATATATCTAGAATTGTAATAGTTGATTTGTATTCAGCTTTTCACATAAGGATTTGGCCCATCATTTGGTTCTACATCTCAGAAGAAATTGCCCATGTCTGGACGCTATTGGTTCTACTGAAATAATGTCATTGGCTGGCTACTATGCTAACTGGCTTTTGGCAGAATTTCACACCTGAGCTGTCCAGGTTGCAAGGGAGAAGCCATACCAATATGCTTGATATTAGATTTTCAAATTCTTGAAACTACAACTTAAAATTTATAAATAGTAGGTACTCCAGAAACTGAACAATATATACCTCGAACTTATGTTTTGAAATTATCTGCTTCAAAATACATATACGAAGCTAGCAAGTCCTTAAATGTGGAAAACTATTCACTCAAAATTTACATTTAAGTAAATGGGAAAGTAATACAAGAAGGATAATTAGTTACACCAAGCTGAGATATATTGTGCATTTGTAGTTATAAGAACAACTTCTCTCCTTGATTCCTTGCATTGTGCTTGCGAAAAATGAACCAAAACATATGCATAAAAATATCATATTAACCAGAATATTATATTGTACAAAATAATGAAGTAACATTTTTTTTTGGTCTGAATTAATGAAGTGACATGAAAACATTAGAGAGTTGAAATAACCCATTCCATGCAAGTCGTGTCCGCGCAAGTATTTACATCATCCATTGACCTCATCAATAATTTTTTGCAAAAACATATTTTTAAACTAAATCAAGATTCCAAGTTTCTAAACGAAACCAATAACAATCATCATCCAAACATATAAGTTTCTAAGTAAATAGAAAATGAAATCATAATAGTTATTACAAACCCATGGCAGAATGCTTTTGACATACATGTGAGCCTCAAAGCTGCTGTCCTATTTAGATATGAAAGGGATGCAATCATCCGAGCCCCGTGGGGCAACGCCCTTGAAGCATTTGAGGCCTCATTGGAGCCTTTCAAAACGAAGGTAGATTTGTTTCTCCCGTAGTTCAATGTGGTGATGCTCAAGCTAGAGAACAAAACCAAACTCAGGCGTCTCTTCAAGATGCATCTTGACTATCATATGGCAACATTGCTCGATCTGTCCGAAGAGATGACTGAGATTAGTTGTGTCCTCTAACTTGAGAATCGCCACATAGGACTCCGGGAGAAACAAATCTACCTTCGCTTTGAAATGCTCCAATGAGGCCTCAAGTGCTTCAAGGGCGTTGTCCCATGGGGCTCGGATGATTGTATGTTTTTCATATCTAAATGGGACAGCGACTTTAAGGCTCACATGTTTTTCAAAAGCATTTTTCCAAAGAACGTAGCAACTCCGAAGTTTTCTATTTGACAGATAAATGTTCCCATGATGCTCTCTAAAAAGTTTGGGATGAACAAAAGGAATTGCTAGTATTTCTGTGATTCTTTTGTCCATGACTTGGGTTGGGAATGAGTTGAAAATGTCTAGGAATGGGTTGGATTGGGAGTTGGCACTACTACAAAAGTGGTCTAAAGGCACGACCCAAAGATCACAAAAACAAAGTTCATGTCTTTTTGAACTACATTTTACACAAATATGTAGTATTTGTGTGATATGTGAAGAAGACACAATAGTTTTGTGTCCAATGACAACAGAAAAAGCATGTTTCTTGTTACTTATACTATTATGGCTCAGTATTGGGCACGAATATTGAATTTTGTGGCATTGTACACGCACACAAATATGAATAGTATCTTTTTTTTTTTTTTTTTTCTTTTTTCATTAGTCTATACTCTATAGGATAGCATGGATATTGAAATTTGTTGTTTATGGGTGAGTTTATGAATCAATATTGAGTTCTATTTTTTTGAGAATTTTGTTATGCCCAATATTTTGATATCAGTTAAATTTGCTTTGATTTGATTTCTAGTAATTTTTTAGCATCTTTGTGTTTTGTTCACTGAATCTAATTGTATGCAGTTTTGAAATGGGAAGATGAAGATGTTAGAGAAATTGGAGGAAAAAAGTAGATCTGGATATTGAACGATGAAATTGTCAGGACTCAGTAGAGACTTTGTTGCAAATTATCCATACCGCAAATCAATAAAATACAGAGATACTTAGACACTAAACTCACATGACTTTATCAATGAGGAGACACTTAGACACTAAAGTCATGTGGGTACAGGGACAACAACAAGAGTATATACATTTAGACCAAAAACAAAAACAAAAACAAAAACAAGAGTATATACATAATTAATACAACAATTAATTAAACATATGAATATAAGAGAAGTGAGGAGGGCACTCTTATGAAAGAAAGTAGGTTGTTATTTTGAAATTTATTTGGTAAAGGTTGCTACAAAACTGATAGGGCCTTTCCCAGTCATAGCAGCTTGGAATGGAAATGGAATGGAAACCAATTTCTTGATCTTTACTTTCGTTTGACATACCCTAAACCCTTTATCAAGTTCAAGTTGGCAATGGAATGGAAACCAATTTCTTGATCTTTATCAAGTCATTTATCTACTTTTTACATCCCCAAAAGCGAGCGATTATACTCCTCAAATATATATTTTTTTTATTTAAAGAGTATAGCATGCAGCTATACTCTTTAAATATATTTTGGAGAGGAGATACCTCAAGTTTCAGTACATTAAAAATCTCACCCCATTGGCCATTCTTATACTCAACACTGATGATATACTTAGCGCCCACTAAAATTGCAAAGAACTGGGTACATATAAATGACCAAATCTTAACCAATTGTTGTATTTATATTATGCATATGAAATCAATTCACTGTGCAAATGACTGGAAATTCCAAACAACATTAGATACATTGTCAAAGAAATAAATGAATTGGATGATATGATACCATACAAGTTACCCTTGTCTTTGAATGATGTGTTCGTTAATGATATGATATGGGGTCATTGGAAAGTGGTTAGCAAAGAAAAAAGAAAAAGAAAGGGTGTTTGAATCCACACGCCTTCCTCCACTCCAAATTCTTAAAAATGTTCATATAAAATGCTTTATTTGGCAACATATATCCTCAAAATTTTCATTTATTTTTACGTAATTTGGATTTTTGGGTTGAAATGTTCATAAAAAACATATGAAAATAAAGGAGAAAAAAAATTTATGTATTGCAATGTATAAATTATGTACCTCAAGTTGCTCGTTAGATATAATGAATGAATGAGAGTTTTGAGGTGTTGTGTGGAATTTGGTAAACTAGATTCCTTCTACAGATATTTAGTCATATACCCATTTTTAGCACTAAAATTATAAATAAACTATACACCATTTAATTTATATAAACAAACTTTAAAAAAAAACCCAAAATATGACAGCTGGCCCTATTAAATTTAATTTTGATTATTAATGTACTTTGATGCTGCATTGAGTGTTTTAGGCTTTTTTATGAGGTTTTGTGGTTGGGTTTGTTTTAAGAAATCAATGGCAGTTTTGTAATTTAAAAGAAGTTAAAAGTCTTTTTGTTATGTTGTAAATTAGTTTTGGGTGTGTTTCTAAAGTCCATTTCATATAGGGTTTTTTTAAAAAAAAAATTGGGCTCCTATATTGGGTATTATAGTGAATCTCCATTTTTGCCATTCATCATGTATATCGTGAGTGCAATATGGTGGCAGATAGATTAGTTGAATTGGGTTCATGTCTTGAGTTGGGTTTGTCAACCTTCCATGATCCTGCTGATAGTACTATATCTAACCTTAGTGAAGATCTACTTGGAGTATGTAGGCCTCGATCCATTGTTTAGTTTCTCTGTTGGGCGTTAGCTCCATCTCTTCGCCTAAATAAAAAAAAAACAATAGTATAGCTGTGCAGCTATACAATTAATTTTTTTAAAAAAATTAAAAGAACACCGGCGTATAGCCGTATGGCTATACTGAAAAAAAAAATAAAGAAAAAAACCTCAGTATAGCCGCGTGGCTGTACTCTTTTTGGAAAAAGATTGTAATTTTGGTAAGTTACAACTGAAAAGTTCGGCCACTATATATTATTTTACGATAATTTAATTTAATTATTTAATATATTATTTAAATTTAATAATATGTGAAAATTATGTGTATAATATGTGAATTTTGTGTGTATTATTGAAAACTTTCTAAAAACCACATATTAAACATGAAAAATACATACGTGTATGTATGTATGTTTGCTTTTTTTTTTTTTTTTTTTTTTTTTTTTTTTTTTTTTTTTTTAAAAAAAACTTGTATTTTATTTTTTTTTTTAGAGCTTTAAGATGTGTATGAAAAACGGAAGCGTTATTAAAAAATACAAATGTATGTGTATAATACGAGTATTAAAGGGGAAAATACTAAATTCTTTATAGGGATAATAATTATGGAAAATTAAAAAATCAAAAGGAAGTATTATACGAGTATTATACGAAAATAGAAGTATTATTGAAAAATACATACGTAGGTGTATAATACGAGTATTAAATGGGAAACTACTAAATTCTTTAAACGTATAATAACTATGGAACAATAAAAAATCGAAAGGAAGTATTATATGAGTATTATACAGAAAACGGAAGTTTTATTGAAAAAATGTACGTACGTATATAATACGTGTATTAAACGGAAAAATACTAAATTCTTTATATAAAAAATAACTTTGGAAAAGTAAAATTTAAGAGTATAGCTGCGCGATTATACTATTTATTTTAAAAAATTTTAAAAAGGACCCAAGTATAGCCGGGCAGCTATACAGTTTGAATATCACCGCGTGGCTATATTATTTATTAAAAAGAAAAGAGGGATCCGCCTAGCGCTTAGGCCCCACAGAAAGTAAATCCCGATGACTAGAGTCCAACTTAGCAAGTTACTTAATCAAGCTTTCAATGTTGATAACAAACATATGAAAATAACCTAAAAGAAAAATTGTCCTTTACATTCTAGTCTGGTCTTGAATGCCATTAAAACACCATAGGAAAAGACGGAAAAATTTGTCCACATACAATTTTCTTTTTAGATCACTTTCGCCACTTGTAATTTGCCCAAGACATGTTTGCCGATTTGTCCACATAATCCAAACCATAATATGCTTTTTGTGATCAATTGTTTAGGGGAAAATGCTTTTTATTTTTTCCAGTTTTCAATACTAGCTATTAAAAAAAATAAAAAATAAAATAAAAATTCCACAGCCATGAGTTTGTCTTTCATCTGCAATAAAAAAACGACATGCGGTAAACTTGGAGCAAAAGACGATGAACACTATAACTCGGGTAAACAAAGTCTCATATTCAACACAAACAACGAAGCATGGACGCGACACTGAAAACTAAATAAAAAAATACGAAAACAATTTTGTAATACTAAAAGAGAACAAAGCAAATTTTAAATAAGAAAGGCAAGGAGAGAGGCAGAGTTAGACTAAAGAAAAGCAAAAGATTTACGTATATTTTTCAGGTCCCTAATACATTAAAAATCTAACTGCAATCATACCTAAAGAACTTGTTGGGATCTCATCTCTTTCAATTTCTTTGACGATGTTTAACAATTCTTTGATTGGTTCACTACCATATGAAGTGGGTGATTTGGTAAATCTCGCAGAACTAGATGTATCAGGAAACAAGTTATCAGGTGATACACCCATGACCCGTAGCAAATGTACTTGTTTGGTACGTTTACATTTGGAAAGTAATCAATTTGATGGAAAAATTCCTCAATCTCTTAAATACTTAAGAGGCTTTTTTTTTGGGGTCAAAGAGATGCTTCACTGAAATAAAGAGAAACCAACATAAAGTCTCCAGGAAGGAGGGAACAACACCTCCATTCAACCAGAAAACAATAAGGCAAAGGGAAACAAAACTAACAAAGAAAACTTAGTTAGAAGGCCATCCACTAAGACATCACCAACGGGTGCACGTCAGCCTCTAACCCATCTGAATTAGGAACTAGGAGGGCAAGGAAGCCCATCCGCTTGCAGAACAAAAAGCAAGGAAGATGGGGGTCTGTGTAGTCAGACATCCTTGCTCATCCTCCGTCTCGCACTCGCCGCAATTGAATCGGCTACACCACTACACTTACGAGGGATCCAACGCCAATTGCAAGAACTGAAGTGAGTGCAACGCCTCCGAATAGCAGTAATAATAAGATAGATAGACCACACGCTTTTACATGATCCCCCAATGATATTCTGAAGCAGCACTTTCGAATTAGTCTCCACAATTACCTGTTGGACACCCAAGTCAGCAGCCAGAGTAACACCCATTAGCGCAGCATGGGCCTCTGCTTCAATCACAGAAGCTGACAACCTATAGTCCCCCGAACCTCCCCTAAAATTACAGCCATCATCACGAATCACGCATCCCAGACCAGAATTAGAGGAAGACTTATCCCAGCTAGCGTCAATATTAATTTTGCACCAGCCATGAGGAGGAGGAGACCAAGATTCATGAATAATATCACTTACCAAATTAGGCAACGGTAGTTGAGAGATTCCAAGGCATGATGCTTGGTGGAAATCACTACTCATTTGCCTAATTCGCACTAAAGTTTGGGTTGGAATCTCTCAACTTTAGGAACTAGTATAATAGTAAAGAAAAGATGCCACCATCGTGAGATCAGATTACATAATTTGACTTGAGAGACCCAATGACAAAATTTGGCTTGGTATGCATACTAGAATTGTTTTTGCGGGTCATTTGATTTTGTGTTTTGGTATGTGAACCAGGCTAATTACATATCTAGAATTGTAATAGTTGATTTGTATTCAGCTTTTCACATAAGGATTTGGCCCATCATTTGGTTCTACATCTCAGAAGAAATTGCCCATGTCTGGACGCTATTGGTTCTACTGAAATAATGTCCTTGGCTGGCTGCTATGCTAACTGGCTTTTGGCAGAATTTCACACCTGAGTCATGGACCAAAGAATCACAGAAATACTAGCAATTCTTTTTGTTTATCCCGAACTTTTTACAAAAGGAATTGCTAGTATTTCGGTGATTCTTTTGTCCATGGCTTGGGTTGGGAATGAGTTGAGAATGGCTGGAACTGGGAGGAATTGGTTGGATTGGGAGTTGGCACTACTACAAAAGTGGTCGAAAAGCACGACCCAAAGATCACAAAAACAAAGTTCACGTCTTTTTGAACTACATTTTACACAAATATGTAGTATTTATGTGATATGTAAAGAAGACACAATAGTTTTGTGTCCAATGACAACAGAAAAATCATGTTTCTTGTTATTTACACTATTATGACTCAGTATTTGGCACGGATATTGAATTTTGTGGCATTGTACCGCACACATTCAAAGTATGATAGTCTTTTTTTTTCTTTTTTTTTCATAATGAAAGTATGATAGTCTATACTCTATAGATAGAGCACGGATATTGACTGTGTATAGAGAAAAATCAATTATATTCAATCTCTCTAATATATAACAAATTAACACAAGGTTCAAATGTGTATAGAGAAACATACAGATTGGGCCTCTCTGGTTACCATTATTGCACTTATATATATATATATATCTATATATATAGGTAATGATTTTCCTACTCTAATTTTATTTACTTATACTTCTTTTTTAGTTATAAAATAAAGTGTAAGTGGATAAAATTGGAATGAGGAAATCACCACTCGTATAAAATATGGTTGGTCCATATATCAAAAGTATGTCCAATTTGAGTGGCATTTGGTTTGGGGAGGGTAATGGAATTGGGCCAAATGAGAAGCATCTCTTGATATTTTGTAGTGAGACGAATATTGTCGCTCGTTGTTGTACTTTGACCAATTCAGAATTTGACTTAACAACGGTCAAAGAAATAAACAAGGAAAAGGCATGTGGATCATGAGAGTTGGAACTTGGAAGGAAGACTTCAAAGCCATTTGTGAAAACTCATTTGTGAAAACTCAACTTCAAAGCCAGCCCGCAACGAGTTGAGCCCAAATATGAGATACCTGGATGAGAGTAAGGGGTTTTAGCATAACCCAAATGGGTGCACCATTGGCAGCCACCAATAAGCTCAATATCACTGAACCCACAATACCCCAAGATACAAAGTCTCATGCAAATCCAACCTCATGTAACAGGATGTAGGTATGTAAGGGCGGAAGGTGGTTGCAACAGTGGTTATGGAAGGGCTCTCAGTTTCTTTATTTTTTGTTAGAGTTCTTCTATAATTTCCTTTTGTATGGAATTTTGGGTACCTTGGTTTTGACAGAGGAAAAAGAAGGGGTAGGTGGTTGCGGCGGGTTGGGGGGGAGGAGCTGCTGGGTTATTAATTTTTGAAAATTTATTTTTTTAATTGTTTTTATATAATTTTAAGACATTTTAAATAATTTAGTCATTTTTAAATGTGTTTAATCATGTTTTAATATTTAATTTATTTTTCGGAATTTTTAAGGGTTAAAATTACCATAATGCTCATACCACATCAGCAACTTAACAGTTTTTTTGACCAAACTAACGGAATATGGTAACGTGAGACACAAAAATAAAGCATAGGAGGGAACACTTAATCAATTAAACATTCAAGAAGTAAATTGAGACAAAACGCAAACCACAAGGGGCATTTCAACAAATAAGCCCTATACTTGCTAACAAAGACCAAACTCATCTATCACTTCGCATCAAAGCAAATACAACAGCTTTTCTTGACTAATTGAGATGGCATTGAGGCAAATGTACTCTAAAACCAAGTGATACTCAGTGTAGGAAGAATATCACATTATTCTCCAACCATGTGCATGCATCACAAATTATTCGAAAGTTACAGTGCTTTTTAATCTTCAAGGTTTTTAGAAAATGATGCCGGCATTAATTAATTCCCCACTCTTCCAATCCTCAAATTGACAGGAAACTTCACAGCCTTATTGCCATCTCCACCATCATTCCAAGCTTCCCTAAATGCCGCAATCACATCATCACTCAAAAGCTCAACACCCTTCTCCTTTGCTGTCTGATATGCAGACCATGACCTTATGTATGTAAAAAAGCCATCCAAGTCCATCAACCTCTCTGTCATAAACTCAAAGGGTCCTGTGTTATCTTCTCCATCCACTGGCGCAAACGGAAAATCGATGCTTCTATACTTGTTGTCCACCAATTTACGCTGTGGATCCCAATAAGGGTCGACATCAACGGTATAGAATCGATCAAAGACGGTGTCTACGACATTGTTGACCCGAGGAACTGTATAGCACCATGCAGCAATGACACCATTGGGTTTTTTCAGCACCCAATTCACGCCTTGGTAGAAAGTAGGGAGGTCAAACCAATGCAGAGCCTGAGCAACGATCACCAAATCTATGCTTGATTTTGGTGCCAATTTTTGTTCAATCTCAGCTATAGACAAAACTGCAGGGGTATGCTCATAGCGAATGTTGGGCAGCTTGATTGCAAGCTCAAGTTGTTTTTGGCTTGTATCTGTGGCTATGACATTCTTGTAGATCCCAGCTAGCTGAAATTTAATTAGTTGAATGAATGCACTTTGGAACACACACAACTTATTCTATGGAATGACTTAACAATTATTTGGCTATGTTTAAGACCTTTTAATTTCTTATGTTTTTAAAATAGATGCTTTATTATTTAGGTTAGTGCTTCTTTTAACTAACACTTGCATTTCTGAAGATTTTCTTGGTGTTTTCACAAAACTTTGAAACTATTTTCACATAACTCATTCCATTAATTTTCCATCTAAAAATTGTTTATGTCATGAATAAAAAAGTTATCCAAAACCTAAGAGAATATGTTGCATATGCACCCGCGAGGTTCAATCATTGGGGGTAAATTTATCTTTTGATGAAGTTTTTTATTTATTTATGAAATCATCAATTTTTCGACGAAAAATTAACGAAACATATTTTATGAAATCAATTTAAAACCTCTAGAAGTGTTTGTGTAATTTATCTTACGGGTTTTGTGAAGAGGATAGAAATGCCTGCAAAAAATAATTTGATGTCATGGGTGTCTAAAGACAGTTTTGAAGTGCAAATAGGGTCACTCGAAATGTTAAACAGTTTGGAAATATTCAATACGGACTCAGGCCCGCCCAAACAGGCATCTTATCATATGGGCTGGCCCATGCTACCTCCACGAAAACGACACCTTTTCTTTTTCTCATGTGGATTCTGGTTTTTCTAAACTACATTTTTCTCATGTACGTATGGCTCTGACTTTGAAAACTTAAACACAAGGAAAGGAATGAAACAAAAATCTTGGAAATGAATAGAAACTTCACGAGGAATGAAAGAAAAATCTTGGAAAATAAGAGAAACTTACGGATCCGGCAGCCTGGCCGTTACCGGTGCCGACGTCCCATGCGAGGTCGTGGCAATTGGTCTTGGAGGCAATGTAATCAAAGATCTCTTCTGGGTAATCTGGCCGAGCCTTCGCATATTGCTTTGATTGTTTGATGAACAGATCCGCCATATTTCTCTATTGAGTTTTTGGTTACTCTTGTGTATACACTTTAATTGGGTGGTTATCAAATTTATATAAAACGGACCACACATGGACTGACCAATCAGAACCAATTTGATTCATTTGGGTGCTATTCGGGGAAGGTGTAAATGAAAGTGGCCTAATTGTGGGAGGTTGAACACTTCAATTTTGGCAACTTCACTTCACGGGCAAAAACGAAAACTACTTTAATGTTTTTATGCTTTCCATAACACACAATACTGTTGGGAATTTGTATTCTCTCTTTTTTTTCAAATCCAATTCGGACTTTTCTACCCGAATTTGAAGCAACATGTGATCAATTTTTTTTCTTTATTTATAAGACTAGCCGCCTCTCGGCACACACTTCGACCTATTATCTAATTTTATTTTAATATAAAAAAATGTAAATTTATTATATTATCCTAATTTAATTAATCATTTCAATTCTTAATGTTTGAATTAACCAATGACATTTTCTAGTATTTTGAATATTTCATCATTCTCTCTCTTTCGCCATTTTTATGTACAACGTGTATTTAATTCATTGAAATTGGTAACGATTTGGTTTTTAACATATCGGTCAAGATTTCAGTTTTAACTGATTGGGCTGTAAGCTTTTTATTTATTTAATAATTTTGTCACAATTTGGATAGGAAAAAGGAATTTTGTTCCACCAAAACGACAGAGTATGACTTTCATTTGCTGCTGCCATCTCACGTGTAGGTTCTCTTTCTTTGTTCTTCTTTCAATTCTAATTCGTTTGCTGCGGCACATGTGGGTTGCTCTTTTGGGAGGCTTTCCATTCTTCTTTTGGTGATTACATTTGGCCATGGAGGCGTCACCCATCCCCACGGACACGTTTGGCACTCTCTCCCTTTTCTTCTTTGTGTATCTGTCTGTATCTTTTGTGGTGAATAATTTGAGTTGCATTTCTTCTATGGTGATTAGAGGTGGTGGAAGAGAGTGATATCGTCATTTTCTCTGTCAAACCTCAAGTTGGTATTTACACTTTTTCATCATCTCTCAATTTCTCAAATATTGTATTTTTATATTATATATTATATATAAAATTTGGTTTTTGTATCTTGATTTTAGAGATATGGGCATGGATTTTTAGATGGTGATTTTGTGGATGTTTACTAGATAATGATATTGTTGCCCCTTTGCATTTGTGCAATTAAAGATGTAGTTTTGCAGTTGAGGCCACTGCTTTCCAAGAAGAAGCTGCTAGTTTCAATTGCTGCTGGAGTCAAATTGAAAGATCTGCAGGTCTCTCAGTTACCACTCTTCTTGCTTTTTATCTAAATTGACTACAGTCTAGATCATGTAGTATACATGTTACAGTGGTGACGAGACTTGTGAAATGCTGATTGCAGTAATGCATTGGATTGATTGACATGCTGCTAGTATGGAATCAAAGAAAAATTGACACTTTTGTGGCTTATGGGTAGTCGTATGTATTTTTTTAACTCTTGTAGTTTCCCTCTGGCTCTTATTGGCATTTTGCTTTGTTTATTTTTCGTATTAAATTTCATTTGGTGCGCCAAATTTGTATGAGTAGAGTGAAAATGGTCATGCCTCTAATCTTCTGGTCAAACAGTTATGAGCTTGGGAGTGGGTGCAACAGAACAAGATGGATCAGTAGGAAAGACGTGGAAAGCTGATGAAAAATTGTTTGATGCAGTTACTGGCGGACCCAAATTTTTTTTAGCGGAGGTGCAATATTGACAAAGTATGAAAATGGTTTTTCAGAATAATCATTTTCTCAAGATAATTTTTAGCGGCTTTTATTCCTTACACATCAGCAAGATAAACCTTACCAAGTCTGGTTTACAAGGTACACTGCATGAATTTTCATTCTTGTCCTTTCCCAATGTTGAACATATTGATCTTAGCAGGAATAAGATATATGGCGCCATCCCACCTCAAAACAGCTCCCTCTCCAAACTCATCTATCTTGATCTCTCACATAATAAATTGTCAGGAAAAATCCCACCAGAAATTGGTTTCCTAACAAATCTTCAGAACCTGTACCTATATACAAACAAGCTAAATGGCTCAGTTCCTCAAGAAATAGGCCAGCTTAAGTCTCTTGTTGTTCTAAATCTCATGGAGAATAGACTCAGTGGTCCTCTTCCCAAGTCAATTGGTAATTTGAGCAAATTACAATTTATACAACTACGCGATAGCCAACTCTCAGGTTCCATTCCTCAAGTGATAGAAAATCTCATGAATTTGGTTGTGCTGAGACTTGCCAGAAACAACTTCACTGGTCATTTGCCACAGAACCTCTGCCGAGGTGCATTGCTTGCAAATTTCACTGCAAATGGCAATCGTCTCATAGGTCGAATCCCCGAAAGCTTGAGAAACTGCACAACCTTATACAGAGTCCGCCTCAATGGAAACCAACTCACTGGAAATATATCTGAAGATTTTGGGGTGTATCCAAACTTGGATTACATAAATCTAAGCAACAATAGATTTTATGGTGAACTTTCACATAAATGGGGTAGGTCTCTGCAGCTAACAAACCTTGAGATTGCAGGGAACAATATTACTGGCTCCATACCACCTGAGATTGGAAACTTGACTCAACTGCATTTGCTTAATCTTTCTTCAAATCATTTAGTTGGGAAGATCCCTATGGAATTTGGAAGGCTGACTTCTTTGGTGAAGCTTATACTGAATAACAATCAGCTTTCTGGTGGTATACCTCAAGAACTTGGATCACTGACTGACCTTGAGTATCTTGACCTGTCCACGAACAAACTGAGCCAATCAATTCCAAGTAGCCTAGGGAATTTTGTGAAAATGCACCACATGAATTTGAGCTACAACAAGTTGAGCCATGGAACCCCAACTAAGTTGGGTAGGTTAGTGCAGCTGTCCGTGCTAGATTTGAAAGGGATACCAACTGAATTTAGCAAGTTGGGTAGCTTGGTGACACTAAATCTTTCCCACAATAACTTCTCTGGTGTTATTCCAGAGAATTTTGTGGAACTTTGTGGCTTGGAGTTTGTCGACACATCATACAATCAATTAAGGGGTCCTATTCCACACAACAAAGCATTTCAAGAGGCTCCCATAGAAGCATTGCAAGGGAACAAAGCTTTGTGTGGCAATGTTACAGGTCTACACCTCTGCAATAATAGTCCTGTTGAAAAGAAGCATAACTCAAAAAATTGGTTTCAAAGTTGTGTACTGCTTGATCATGCTTCCTGTGTTGGGAGCATTTATGCTTACTTTCTATGGAATTTTTATCACTTCGCGAAGAAAAAGGGAAAGCCAACAAGAAGAACAAAGTGACATTCACCCAAAAGAATTCGAATTGCGTGCAATATCAATCTTTGATGGAAAAGTATTGTATGAAGAAATTATAAGAGGGACTGAGGATTTTGAAGCTGCATATTGCATTGGGAGGGGGGCAGTTGGAAGTGTATACAAAGCAAAGCTGCCCTCAGATGACTTGGTAGCTGTCAAGAAACTCCACATTCCATGTGATGGTGTGTGGAGAAAAGAATTCTTACACGAGATAAGGGCATTAACTGAGATACGCCATTGAAACATTGTCAAACTTTATGGTTTCTGTTCACATGCACGGCACTCGTTTTTGGTTTACGAGTACCTTGAAAGGGGTAGTTTGTTTTCAATCTTGTGCAACGATGAAGAAGCTAGGAAATTGGATTGGATTAAAAGGGTGAACATCATTAAAGGTGTGGCTCATGGTTTATCCTATATGCACCAAGATGTGTCTCTGCCAATTGTTCATCGAGACATATCCAGCAAGAACATTTTGCTAGACACTGAATATGAGGCTCGCATTTCAGACTTCGGAAATGCTAAGATTCTAGATTATGAATCATCAAACTGGACTGCGGTTGTAGGCACAATTGGATACATAGCACCAGGTACAATTCAACATCTTGTGTTGTTTTCATCAGATGGTTTGGATTTACATTCTTGGCAACATAATATGTCACATATTGTCTGACTTGAGAGCATTTCCCCTGTATACATTGTTCTCTTAACTTTACCCTTTTTGGCAGAGCTTGCTTACACATTGAAGGTGACAGAGGCATGTGCCGTCTATAGTTTTGGGGAGTTAGCTCTTGAAGTGATTAAAGGAAAGTACCCTACCAATCTAGTGGGGTCTGCGTTGTCATCTGCAATCTGTTGAGGCAAAATGTTGGGGGATGTGTTGGACGATTGCCTTGCGCATCCCACTGGTAAAATTTTGGATGAAGTTGTTACCATCCTAAAGCTAGCAGTTGCATGCTTACATGAAACTTACATGAAAATCCACAGTTAAGGCTTACCATGCATGACATTTCTTGTAACAATACAAATCTCCCATACACAGAAAGACAAATAGAGGGTTAACTAGAGTTTAGTTGAAACATTTAAACAGAAGGATGTTAAAGCCATTTATTGTATCTTAACCAGCTGCGACCAAATCATTGTAATTACTAATATTTAGGCTTTGTGAGTTCTTCATTTTGTTGTAATCATATATACAGGCTCTCCTTGAGAGATGAGATGGATAACAAGCAATAATTCTTTTCGTACATGGTATGACATCAGATTTGAGCATTTTTCGTCACCAAATTGCCTATCGTTATCGTATTAGTTTCATTTCCTTTTCAATGATAAAATGTGCTGTTTGCTTGCATGCATACAACATCAAATGGACCGGAAGTGTTGACGATGGAGGAAGAAACCTTTAAAGTTAGAAATCTTAACTCTGAATCTCAAAGTCTACTGTGAATTTAATATGCAAACAGAGAGTAATAGAAAATGGCATATCATTGTTACCAAAACAAAAACAATGAGATCTTCAACTTATTATGACCAAGTATGCTCTGCTCTCTACCCTTTTCCGCCATACTTTTGCAAGGGGGTTCTGGTTTTTAGCAAGTTCGAATATTGCCTTTCCCAAGTGCTTGCTTTTTTCAAAGAGATGAACAGTATATGTGGTAGTATAATTGAAATTATCAACCTCCGAATTGCTTGTTAATCAAGCATGCCCTTATGTCAATACACTAATTTATTAGTACAAGTAGCATAGAGTATATTTAAAAGAACCACTAGCTATAATTGAACTTTCAAATTGATTTGAAGACTATGATTTCTTTATATATTTTTGCTTGGCATTGTATATGTAGCAGGTAAATCGGTATCTCCTCACATGTGAAATTTTTATTAATTCCAAGGAGAGGATGCATTATTTGACTACATTCAAATTTGAAAATAAGAAACAAAGACTTTGACTAAAAGTGTCTGAAGAAATCTACAAAAGCTGCAAAACAGACAGCAGCAATACTACTGGAAAGGACAGTTTCAATATTTCCCATACGTAATCCTTTGTATATTCCAACCTGAATGAAGTTCCAAACGTGAAATAAATCAATAAGAGGAAGAGAGTTTTCAAGTCTGTGATGCCTCAAGTCTATAACGCATCAATGTAAAACAAAAAACCCTGAAATTAAGAAAAAAACCATGAGATTTTTAACTTACTATGATAAACTAAGCTCTCTGGCTTATTGTCTTATCTTCTTGTATGTTCAGCTTATTGTCTCTGGTTCTGATGAAGCAGAGGCTCTCCTCAAATGGAAAGCCACCTTCCAAAATCAAACCCAGCTGCAAAATCTAACCTCATGGACTCACCCTCCCAGTAATGTCAATGCCACCAACTCTTCTGGCAATCCGTGCAATATGTGGACTGGTATTTCATGCAACAAAGCTGGAAGTGTTAACAGGATAAACCTTACCAATTCTGGTTTACAAGGTACGTTACACAAATTCGCTTTCTCGTCTTTCCCTAATCTTGAATATCTTGACCTCAGCATCAATAAATTCTTGGGTTTCATCCCACCTCAAATCAGTTCCCTCTCCAAACTCATTCACCTTGATCTCTCTTCTAATCAGTTTTCTGGGAAAATCCCATCAGAAATTGGTCTCCTTACAAATCTTAAGTTCCTGAAACTACATGAAAATAAGTTAAATGGCTCAATTCCTCAAGAACTTGGCCAGCTTAACTTTCTTAATGAACTTCCCATGTCCACCAATATCCTAGAGGGTTCAGTTCCTGCTTCTCTGGGTAGTATGAGTTACCTGACTTCTCTGCATCTTTTTGACAATCACCTTTCTGGTTCCATTCCTCCAGAACTTGGAAATCTTTCTAATTTGGTTGAACTCTACATGGACACCAACAATTTCACCGGTCCTATTCCTCAAACTTTTGGAAACTTAAAAAAGCTGACCATGTTGTATTTGTTCAACAATCAACTTTCTGGTTCTATCCCTTCAGAAATAGGAAATTTGAAGTCTCTAATGGAATTACTCTTATACAGAAACAATCTTTCTGGTTCAATCCCAACACATTTAGGTTATCTGGCAAACCTTACCCATCTCTTTCTCGATGAAAATAAGCTTTCTGGTACAATTCCTAAGGAGATAGGGAACCTGAAATCTGTTGTGGATGTACACTTCAGCAAAAACTACTTAACAGGTCCTATCCCTCCAATTTTTGGTAACTTGAGAAAGCTAAAAGTGCTATACTTGTTCGACTGTCAACTTTCTGGTATCATACCTTCAGAAATGGGAAACTTGAAGTCTCTAGTAGAATTATTCCTTTACAGGAACAATCTTTCTGGTTCAATCCCAGCATGGATTGGTGATATGAGAAATCTTACACATGTCAATCTGTTTGGAAATAAACTTTCCGGGGCTATTCCTAAGGAGATTGGGAAATTGAAATCTATGGTGGATCTAGACTTGAGCCAGAATCAACTCAACGGTTCAATTCCCACTTCATTTGGTGGTTTGAGAAACTTGGAAGTCTTATCCCTCCGTGACAACCAACTCTCTGGCTCAGTCCCCCAAGAGATAGAAAATCTAGTGAAGTTGACTCTGTTGTATTTAGATACTAACCAGTTTTCTGGTTATTTGCCCCAAAATATTTGCCAAGATGGATCACTCACAGAATTTACAGCAAACAACAACCATTTTGTTGGTCCAATCCCCAAAAGCTTAAAAGCCTGCACCACCTTATCCTTTGTCCGCCTTAGTTGGAACCAATTGATAGGCAATATATCAGAAGACCTTGGTGTTTATCCGAATCTTCAATTTATGGATCTAAGCCATAATAACTTAAATGGTGAAATCTCACACAAATGGGGACAATGTGCACAATTAACAACCCTACTAATTGCAGGAAACAACCTTACCGGTAGTATACCACCTGAGATTGGCAATGCAACCCAAATTCATCAACTTGATATTTCTTCAAATAGTTTAGTTGGGATGATCCCAAAAGAATTTTGGAGACTGACTTCTTTGGTGAAGCTGATGTTACAGGGGAATCAACTTTCAGGTCGTATACCTTCCGAATTCGGATCACTGATTGATCTCGAATATCTTGACCTATCCACAAACAAGTTCAATGGGTCAATACCTAGCACTATAAGTGACGTGTACAGATTACACTCTCTGAATTTGAGCAACAACAAGTTTAGTCAAGGAATTCCTTTTCAGTTGGGAAAGCTAGTTCACTTGTCCCAACTAGATTTAAGTCATAACTTGCTTGAAGGTAAGATACCTTCAGAAATAAGCAACATGGAGAGTTTGGAGATGCTCAACCTTTCCCACAATAATCTTTCTGGCTTTATTCCAACGAGTTTTGAAGACATGAATGGGTTGTCGTATGTTGACATATCCTACAATGACTTGGAGGGTCCCCTGCCCAACAGCAGTGCATTTCGGAATGCTGTTCCAGAAGCATTGCAGGGGAACAAAGGACTGTGCGGCAACATTGGAGCTCTGAAATCCTGCAAACATAACTCCAAAAAGGACCGTAAAGTCATATTTTTAATCTTGTTCCCTCTTCTCGGAGCACTTGTACTTCTACTTGCTTTCTTTATGTTTGCTTTTCTGATAGAAAGAAGAAAGAAAAATCAAACTCTGGAACAAAATGATGACATGCTTGAAGAAATTTATTTTGCAATTCTAGATTTTGATGGAAAAACAATGTATGAGGAAATCATAAGGGCGACAGAAGATTTTGATTCCAAATATTGCATTGGGACAGGAGGACATGGAAGTGTATACAGAGCAAATTTGTCATCTGGCAACACGGTAGCGGTGAAGGAACTCCATCTTCTCCACAATGGCGAGAATAATTTTCAGAAGGAATTCTTCAATGAAATAAGAGCACTAACTGAGATACGACACCGGAACATTATGAAGCTTTATGGTTTTTGTTCACATAAACGACATTCATTTTTGGTGTATGAGTATCTCGAAAGGGGTAGCTTGGCCACAACGCTGAGCAATGATCATGAAGCTAAAGAACTGGGGTGGAGTAAAAGGGTGAATATTGTTAAAGGTTTAGCTAATGCCTTGTCCTACATGCACCACGATTGCTTGCCACCAATTGTACATCGTGACATATCAAGCAAGAATGTTTTGCTGGATTCTGAATATAAGGCCTGTGTTTCAGATTTTGGCACTGCCAAGTTTTTAAATCCAGACTCAACTAATTGGAGTGCTCTTGCAGGCACGTATGGATATATAGCACCAGGTAATGTTGAAACATTTTTTCTCTTATTTGAACACTTATCACCGATTCTTTTTCATGCATGGTTAAACCCAACTTGTTAGAATCGAACAGGACATTTGAACTGTACCATCGTAATTAAAGTAAAAAGTATTGAACCTGGTAGCAAATTAGCAATAGGTACTTTAATCATTTCATATCACAAAATGTTTTGAACACTGAAGTTTCTGATATACTAATAATGCCACTGCTACGAGATTTTCTAAGCAGAGCTTGCTTATACAATGGAAGTGAATGAGAAATGTGACGTGTATAGCTTTGGAGTGGTAACGTTGGAACTGATTATGGGAAGGCATCCGGGAGATCTGTTGTCATCTTTATCATCTGCATCTTTGTTGTCATCTTCATCATCTGCATTACCTGCCCATCAAATGCAAATGGAGGATATTTTGGACCAACGCATTTCCCCTCCTACACATCAAGAAGCAGGGGAAGTGGTCTCTCTAGTGCAGATAGCTTTTGCATGCTTGAATCCCAGTCCTCCATCTCGTCCAACAATGAAACAAGTTTCTCAACACCTCTCAACTCAGAGGCTGCATTGTCCAAGTCAGTGCATATGATAACATGTGGTGAATTGCTTGCTCTTGACGGTTTTACAACCCGAGGGTAAGTTTCTACATGTTAAATGCTTTCAATTATCTCCGTCACCACTCGTCATGCTCATCCGCCGATCATGCCTTTATAATTTCTTTGACATTATTTGATTGATTAATTTGAATAAACACCGTATTAACTCTATGTTTGCCCTCTGAGTGTTTCTTCTAACCTTCTTAGACGTTCCCTTGTAGCAATGTATTTGAAGCCTACTTTTGTGCCACTCATTATTTTGAAGGAAGGAAAAAAAGGTGTAACAACATAAGTTAATATTTATAATCACTTTTTCAGTTCAATTTTATGTTTGAAGAGCAGTAATTATAGGAAAATCAGATATTTATCTGGCTTTATCCTCAGACAAAATACCAACTTGTCATATCCCAGAAGAGGAGAATGACCCCTCAAGGCTCAAAATTGACACCAACCAAAATTAACAATGAACAAGACAATACAACAACGGTGTTCCTCTCAGAAAACTGAAAGTAGTGTTTCTCACGAGTGCAATGTCACAATAAAAGCAACGAACAGATTCACATTCTTATTCCTATATATGCAAAGTCAGCTTTCGCTTGGTATACTCTTGGAATTTTGATCATCTGTTGATCTTCAAAATCTTGAAAAATGCTAGGTTGTTACCAACTGCTTTCTTCTTCTTTTTTGGTTTGTTGTGAAAGTAGTTCTAAAAATATATAAAGATATTGCAAAGACTTTCCAAGTCTGGAACAATGAATATTGTTCAAAGCATAAAAATTATGAATATTGTTTAAGTCATAACTTGCTTGAAGGTAAGATACCTTCAGAAATAAGCAACATGGAGAGTTTGGAGATGCTCAACCTTTCCCACAATAATATTTCTGGCTTTATTCCAACTGTTTTGAAGACATGAATGGGTTGTCGTATGTTTACATATCCTACAATGACTTTGAGGGTCCCCTGCCCAACAGCAGTGCATTTCAGAATGCTCTTCCAGAAGCATTGCAGGGGAACAAAGGAGTACTGTGCGGCAACATTGGAGCTCTGAAATCCTGCAAACATAACTCCTAAAAGGACCGTAAAGTCATATTTTTAATCTTGTTCCCTCTTCTCGGAGCACTTGTACTTCTACTTGCTTTCTTTTGTTATGTTTTCCTATTTAGATCGGTGCACTAGATACTAAGTTATATCAGATTTGATAAGAGTTTAAATTAAGTTGTACCTTGAGGCCCAAAACCCGGTGAAATAAGGAAGGGTTTTGAGGCCTATTAAGGGGTCTTATTATATTTTTATTTATGCGTGAACTGATTAAGTGGGCTTGGAAGATAAGTCAAGTCGACCCTCGGTGATGAGTAGAATGACTTGACCTAGCCCTATATAAGCTAAAGGCCCTACTCTTATTAGACACGTTCTCTAAACCTATTCTCATCATAAAGAGATAGCTGAAACAGATTCTGAGATAGAGCAGAAGTCTTGAGCCGTTCTTGTTATTGCTGGGATTGCTGCTGCTACGGATATGATGAATTCAGAAGCTGTGTATTCAAGGAAGATGGCTTCAGGTATGTCTTCATGTCTTTACACGTATTACAGATTGTGTGTAAGATCTAGAACAAGCATATAAAGAATCTAACAGTTGGTATCAGAGCTTAAGGTTGTTCACACATATCTATAATCGTTGTTCAAGCATGTCTACCATGATTTCATATCTGTTTATGCCATGTTCAGTTATTTGGTTATGTTTAATTTTTGAAGATGGTTTAAACATGTTTTTGAAAATATCAAGATTCTGGAAAAGCATGTTTTTTTATTTGGTTTTCATATTTACAAGACTTTAAACACGTTTTTGACCTAGCAGATCACCTTAAAACCCTAAAAATGCCTATATGTCACAGCTTTTCTGTGAGTTGTGTTAATTAGGTTATTCCCTATTCATAAAGGTATTTTGCGTAAAAAACGGACACTAAGAACCCTAAAACACTATTCACGCCTAAAACACTGTTCATGCAGAAACACTATTTACTGCAAGTTTAAGGTTTTCCTTTATTGAACTGTGTTTTGTTTGGTTATTTTTCTGAGCCAGATATATGTTTGTCTTTGTTCTGAGAATCAACAAACTTTTCATAACAAAACCAAACTTAAATACTTAAACCCTAAAGAAATAACCGAAAATTGCATTATACCTAAATTGCTTGATAAAGTTTCTTTAACAAATAGAATCTGTCATGTAATTTATTTGTGATGGCACAAGATAACATGTAATTTGTGTAAGCTATAAGTAATCTCTTACCACAAAGGTGTGATACTTAATTAAGGACGCTTGCATATATTATTTGTTAGTTTTGTGAATAAAGTTAAACTGCTTTCTCTTAACAAATTGAGAATCGGTTTTTAGGAAAGTAATATGTTTTTGTTTGCAAATCCTTACAGCTTTAAACACTCCATCAATCAATTTCACACAAATTGAAAAATTCACTAAATCAAACTTCAATTTATGGACGTTTGATTTTAAAGTTATTGTCAAAATGAATGAGATCGTTTATGCTCTCACTCATGGCTATATTTAATTCAAGTTAGCCTTTTCACTTATGTGTCTTGTAGTATAACTCCTAGAGCTTAGGGAAAAGGAAAAACATCTGGCGTTTCAATAGGTGTCACTCATGCCAACTTGTCACGAATGGCATTCTAGTAAAGAATACAGTGGAGTTAATTAAGAAGCGGCACGAAGATGAGCTGGAGTGAAAAAGGGTTAAGGCGCAGTGAAATCGTCGACCATATAGAGGACCCACAAGGATATACACGGCTACAAAGGATAGTCTCAGAAGTCTTAGGACCTCTATGAAGCTCAGTGTATGCACTTATGGGAGAGGAAGAAACATCAATAAGCTACTTCGATACAAGAATCTCCTAGTGCAATCTGTGAAACCTATGCCCCAACCTGAATCACATGTTGAGATTTTTGATGCCACCACTAATAGGGAGATAGTGGCACTTGGCCCATTCCCTGTTAAGGAGAATAACACTTTCATGGTAGCAAGTTTGTGACAAGGAGTTTTAGATAGCTACCTGTTGTTTTAATCAAGTTTTATTGGAGTAGTTGTTTTTTAAGTTGGATTTAGGATTTTTTTTTAGAGGTGGATGATGTTGTTTTCAGTACCTTAAAGAGAAATTCAATTTCTGTTTCAAGATTATTAAGACTTGGTTTTAATTTGGTTTCAATAAAGATGTTGTTGTATCTCAAAATTCAAAGATAATAAAGATGGATTATATTGTCTCAATTACAATAAAGATAGTGAAGTTTGAATGGCATAGGCGTTTAGGGCACATTTCAAAAGAAAGAATGAAAATTCTAGTTAAGGAACAAATCTTGCCATTATGACTTTCAATGATGACAAAATTTGTATTGAGTGTGTCAAAGGAAAACTCACTAAGACTAAGAAGAAAGATGCAACTCGCAGTAGTGATCTTTTAGAGATCATCCACACAGTTTTTGTAGACCTTTCCCTCATCAAACAATTGATGGAAATCGTCTTTTCATCACCTTTATAGATGACCATTCTCGTTTTGGTTATATGTATCTCATAGCAGAAAAGTCTCAAGCTCTTGAAATGTTTAAGATTTTCCAAACTGAAGTAGAAAGGCAGCTTGAGAAAAGGATCAAAATTGTGAGGTCAGACAAAGGGGGTGAATATTATGGACGTTTTGATGAAGGAGGACGACGCTGGACTTTTTGCTAGGTATCTACAAGATAATGGAATAGTTGCTTAGTACATAACGCCATGAATTCCGCAACAGAATGGTGTGGTTGAGAAAAGGGATTGAACCTTGAAGGACATGGTTCTTAGCAAGATTTCTAGAACTGATTTGCCTACGTTTTTTATAGAGGCGATCAAAACAACAAACTATAGAGTGCCTAGTAACTCCGTACCTAAGACACCTTCCAAATTTTGGACTACCAGAAAACCTAGCCTAAGACAAGAGAAGAAGCTTGATCTTAAAACGATAAGATGTAGGTTATCCCACAAGGTCAAAGGGTTTTAGATTTTATTGTCCAAATTCTGGTACCCGAATTGTTGAGACTGGTTGCGCAAATTTTATAGAGCATAAGGAGAATGCCACTGGGAATGAAGACCTTATTTTTGAAGAAGAAGGTGATGTAGCTGTGATTGAGAATGTTGAACAAGAAGTTAAACCCTTGATTCCTTTAAGTGAAACTGTATTGGAAAATTCTCAATTTGAAGAACCAATTGAACCACAAGAACAAGTTGTTGAGAATCCTGACCTGGATGATCCACAAGAACCTGTACAACCAAGGAGATCTGACAGACCAAGAAGATCCACAACAAATTTAGATTATGTGTACTTACAAGAAGCAGATTTTGATAATGGAGATGAGGCTGATCCAACAAGTTTTAGAGAGGCTATGGAGAGTCAGAATGCAGACAAATGGAGGGAAGCGATGTTGAATGAACTTGAAAGCAAGAAGAATAATTAAGTATAGGAATTAGTTGAACCTCACAAGAGCCAAAAGTTGGTAGGCTCGAAATGGGTATTTAAAACAAAGAAATATAAGGATGAAAGAATCAAAAGGTTTAAGGCTAGATTGGTAGCCAAAGGATTTACCCAAATGGAGGGAATTGATTATACTGAGACGTTTTCTCCAGTTTCCACCAAAGATTTTTTCCGCATCATTACGGTGTTGGTAGGCCATTATGACCTACTTTTACATAAAATGGATGTAAAAACTACTTCCATGAATGGAGAACTTGAAAAGGAAAATTTTATGAGGCAACCTAAAGAGTTTGCAAATGAGGGAAAAGAGCATATGGTTTGCAAACTTGGCAAGGCAATTTATGGACTAAAGCAAGCAAGCAAAAGGTGATATTTCAAATTTCACCAAACTATTTCCTCTTATGTTTTTGAAGAGAACATAGCTGACCAGTGCATTTATATGAAGAAATGTGGGAGTCGATTTATTTTCTGGTGCTGTTTGTCGACGACATACTTTTGGATACAAATGACCACAATTTACTGAAGGACACTAAGGAACTACTTTCAAATAATTTTGAGATGAAGGATTTGGGAGAAGCTGGGCATTGAGATTCAAAAGACTGAGCTCGAGGCCTTCTAGGCCCATCACAGAAGACATACATTGAGAGGGTACTCAAGTGTTTTGACATGAGTATGTGTTCTGGACAGAAAGTTATGTTAGCTAAAGGAGATTTAAAGAAGGAGCATTGCCCAAGAATAAAGAAGAAGAAGATGAGATGAGGAATAAGCCATACGCTTTTCTAGTTGGAAGCATTATGTATGCACAAGTGTGTACAAGGCCAGACCTAGTCTTGTGCATTAGCAAGATGAGGAGATTTCAGTCAAATCTGGGAATGCAACTTTGGATAGCTGGAAAGAAGGTTTTGAGGTATCTACAGAGAACAAAGGCTTATATGTTGATTTACAGACGCACGTTTCAAGTTCAACCATGTTTTCAGAATACATAGCTTGCTATGAAGCCACTTCTCATGCAGTATGGCTAAGGAATTTTATTAAAGACATTAAGGTGGTGGACTTGATTTCTAGACCAATACAGATATATAATGACAACAGTGTGGCTGTTTTTCACTGCATGAACAACAATATGTCGTATGGACTTCAGCATATTGACAAAAAGTATTTAATAGTGAGGGAGAAGGTAGTAGACAAACTAGTCAGGTTTGATCACATCAGAACTCAATTCATGATTGCAGATCCGTTCACAAAGTTTTTGCCTTCAAAAGCTTTTCTGAGACATGTTGAGAGCATGAAATTTTTTTTCCCAGCTTTGATGCTGCAATCTAGTGGGAGTCTTGTTCTCATTCTAATAATTTTACTAGTTTTTGGTTTGTTTATTTTGTTGTTTTCTGGATTAAGGGATTTGCATATAAGGATGTCAATTTGGTTGATAGTTTTATTCATTATTGAACAAATTCTACCATTTTGACTATTTAGCTGTTTAAACTTATTATGCAACTTTGTTTATGCATGTGAGTTTATGGTCTCTTTTGAGATATTATTGTTTTAATAACATTGCAGATTGACTCTTGCTAAGTCATAAAGGGGTACTTGTACTGAAATGCATAAAGATTCACATTAAGGAATAGTACATATTAAGGTTCACGTTGTAGGTGCTTCATGTGTTTTGAGATTGCATTATGTGATTATAGATGGTCTGTTTTTAATGAAGAAAGCAGTGCTTGTCTATAGTTCGTTTTGTTTAATCGCCTTTCACTGTAGCTTGAGGGGAAGGACTTAACTGTTTTAAACTCATGGCCAATAAAGATTATCAAACCTTTCGGAATATAAAAGCTTAGTATTCTAGTGCTTGATCTAGTGGAAGAATGTTATGTTTTCCTATTTAGATCGGTGCACTAGATACTAAGTTATATCAGGTTTGATAAGAGTTTAAATTAAGTTGTACCTTGAGACCCAAAACCTAGTGAAATAAGGAAGGGTTTTGAGCCTATTAAGGGGTCCTATTATATTTCCATTTATGCGTAAACCGATTAAGTGGGCTTGGAAGATAAGTCAAGTCGACCCTCGGTGATGAGTAGAGACGACTTGACCTAGCCTTATATAAGCTAAAGGCCCTGCTCTCATCAGACACGTTCTCTAAACCTATTCTCATCATAAAGAGAGAGCTGAAATAGATTCTGAGAGAGAGCAGAAGTCTTGACCATTCTTGTTATTGCTGGGATTGCTGTTGCTACGGATATGATGAATTCAAAAGCTATGTATTTAAGGAAGATAGCTCCAGGTAGGGGTGGCAATTTCGGACACGACCCGATACACGACTCGAAACCCGCACGAGAAATTAGCGGGTTCAACCCGCACGATAAAAAAACAGGTCAATTTCAGGTCAACCCGTTCTGACCCGTTTAATAAACGGGTGGGTTTCGGGTCAACCCGCTAACCCGCTATAATACCTACCTAACCCGTTTATTAAACGGGTCGTGTCACGGGTCGTGTCAACCCGCTATAATGCCTATCAACCCGCTAAAAAATGAAGAGAAATAGAGACTTCAGCACACACACAAGGGGTTTCGAACCCTTACCACCCTCATTTCTCTCAAACACCTTATCCACCATGCTACAAACAACTTTGTGATTTTTTTTGATATTTATAATGTTTTTTTTCCTTTGTGTTTTCCTTTCTTTTCCATCTCTCTTCTCCACTTTTTTTTTCTTTCTTTTCCTTCTTTCTCCTCTCTTTTTTTTTCTTTTTTTTTAATCTCTCTTTTCCTTTCCTCTTCTCTCCTTTTTTTTTCTTCTCTCTTTTCCTTCTCTTTAGTTTTCTCTCATCTCTCTTTTTTCTTTCTTTCTTTCCTTCAATATTCTCTCTCTCTCTCTCTCTCTCTCTCTCTCTCTATTTTTTTTTCTTTCTTTTCCTTCTCTCTTCTCCCCTCTTTATATCTTTTTTTTTCTTTCTTTTCCTTATATTTTCTCTACTCTCTCTGTTTTTTTTAATTTAAATTTTTTTTCAATTGTGAGTTTCGTAACATGCATGTTATTATTTATGAACCCGTTACACGACTCGAAACCCGCACGATAAAAGACGACCCGAACCCGACACGACACGTTTATTAAATGGGTTGGGTTCGGGTTGAGCATTCTTGACACGTTTATTATCCCGACACGACACGAACCCGACACGACACGACCCATTGCCAGCCCTAGCTCCAGGTATGTCTTCATGTCTTTACACGTATTACAGATTATGTGTAAGATCTAGAACAAGCATATAAAGAATCTAACATCTTTATGTTTGCTTTTCTGATAGCAAGAAGAAAGAAAAATCAAACTCTGGAACAAAACGATGACATGCTTGAAGAAATTTCTTTTTCAATTCTAGATTTTGATGGGAAAACAATGTATGAGGAAATCATAAGGGCGACAGAAGATTTTGATTCCAAATATTGCATTGGGACGGGAGGACCTTGAAGTGTTTACAGTTACAGAGCAAATTTTTCATTTGCAACATGGTAGCCGTGAAGAAACTCCATCTTCTCCACAATGGCGAGAATAATTTTCAGAAGGAATTCTTCAATGAAATAAGAGCACTAACTGAGATACAACATCGGAACATAATGAAGCTTTATGGTTTCTATTCACATCACTAACACTCGTTTTTGGTGTATGAGTATCTCGAAAAAGGTAGCTTGGCCACAACGCTGAGCAATGATCATGAAGCTAAAGGTCAATCCCAATTGAACCCCCTCCGATGGCTAAGTTAGAGGTGTTCTTAGAGTGGAGAGAAGGATGGAGAGTTTCAAGAAATATTTATTACCTTTGTCCTAGTGCAGGTGAAGAGTATTTTATAAGGGGGAGAATGAGTGATCATCCCTCCTTCAATCTTCCCAAAGGAGAGATATTTATCTTCCTCTTTTCCCAATGGCAAGATTGAAACGCATTAAATGATCCGTCCTTATCACCATGTTGGCTATCAAGGATCAAGTGTCAAGGCGACACATGGCTTTGGATGTGAAGCACATTAACTGATCCATTTCCATCACCAAGCTGTTTATTAGGGATCAAGGGGTAAGGTGACACCTGGATTTAAATGTGAAGTAAATTAAATGATCCCTCTCCATCACCAGACTGACACTAGGCGCATGGAGTGACTGACTAGACAGAGGTCTGGTCATGTCAGAATTTCAATGCATGTCTCTAGTCACATGGTATCTCAATAGTCGGGTCGGTGTTCGAGTGCCCGACCAAGTCGACCAAGTGTTCACGCGGTATCTCCCGACAGGCTCAACTAGGAGGCCTTTTATCAATACTCGGCGGGTCAATCCAGTTAGGTGGTACGAGGACTTATGGCCACGTGGTGCTCTCTGATAGGCTCGGCTTATAGTGATGATATGAACCATTAATAGCACTATTGACAAGGGTTTTCACCAATGCCCTGGTGTTGATTTTTCATATACTTTCAGTCTGGTGGCCAAACCTACTACTATACAAATTGTTTTGCATCTTGTCGTGACTCATGTTTGGCCAATATGTCAGTTGGACATTAACAATGCTTTTCTTCATGGCACAATCCTTGAAAATGTCTATATGGTCCAACCGCTTGGTTTTGTTGACTTTAATCATCCATCTCATGTGTGTAAATTGAGGAAAGCCCTTTATGGCCTCAAACAGGCTCCCCGGGCGTGGTACAAGGAATTACACTCACTTTGACTCTCTCATGGCTTTGTCAATGCCATCTCTGATGCCTCAGTCTTTCTCTTCAAAAATAGGACTACTGTACTTTATTTTTTGGTTTATGTTGATGATCTTCTTATTACAAGCAACAATTCCTCACTTGTGGCGAAGTTCATCCAACTCTTAGCCACTCGATTCTATATCAAGGACTTGGGCTCATTACATTACTTTTTTGGTGTTGATGTCCTTCCCACAACCACTAGTCTATTCCTTTCTCAACAAAAGTACATTCATGATATTCTTGTCTATACCAAGATGGATGGTGCAAAGGCTGTCAGTACGCCCCTCTCCACAACTGACTCACTTATGCTCTATGATGGCTCATCCCTCACATATGCAACTCCCTACCATTGTTTTGTTAATGGTCTTCAATACCTAAGCCTTACATGCCCTGACATCTCCTTCACAGTCAAAAAGCTCTCTCAATTCATGCATTCTCCTTTCGAGACTCACTGGCAAGCACTCAAGCGTTTTCTTCGCTACTTGAAAGGTACCATCTCCTTTGGCCTTCATCTTTGTCGCCGCCCCTCTCATCGTCTTTATGCCTTTTCCGATGCTGACTGGGCTGGTGATCGTGATGATCGCAAGTCTAAGACTGGTTATGTTGTCTATCTCAGTGGAAATCTGATCTCTTAGAGCTCCAGTATTGTTGCCACCACTACTGAACTCACATGGATTCAGCCCTTACTGTGTGAACTTGGCATTCCTCTCCCCACAACACCGGTTGTCTCCTGCTATTGTGCTAATCCTGTCCTACATTCCTGTATGAAACATATTGATATTGATTTTCAGTTTGTACGGGATCATGTCACTCGTGATCTTCTTCAAGTGTCTCATGTCTCCACTATTGATCAGCTTGCTGACTCTCTTACCAAACCCTTACTGCATTCCCGTTTCCAACTCCTTCGTTCCAAGATCGGTGTCTCCGATGGTGCCACCGTCTTGCAGGGGCGTATTAGGGAATCTCCTACATCAAAGGAGATCACTTCATCAAAAACACAATCTGCTCCATCAACCATACAGTCGACTCCTCCATATGAAAGCCAACTATGATATATGCTAAGCTGTCTTTCCTATTCTATTTGATTAAGATTGATTTAGTCATTCAATTCTGATTGTATTTACCTATTTAGGATTGTATTCAAACTGTATATAATTATAGACCTGTACTTGTAAACATATCAATGAAATATACCAATTAATCTTAGCTCTTATATACAGGAGACCAGGCATTCCAGCCAATTTGTACCATGTTGCTCATAGGTATGATTATTCTGCATTGTGTTGAAGTGGATTCTATTCCCAGTGTATGAATGTACATTTGACTACTATGTAAAATAAATAGTTTCTGCTTTAGTAAAGTCGATTCTCTTTGCGTAAATTTTACTAAAATAACTCTCAATCTTCTACTCTGATACTAGTGGCATATCCAGGAATTTCCGTTCCGGGGGTCAACATGAAAAAGGTTAAAAAAAAATTCTATACAAAATAGACCCATTGAAATGAAACGATAATATTCTAATTCATAGTTAATAGATAAAACCGTACAAAATACTCATGCTCATTATCAAAGAGAACTACATCAACTTCAACAAAAAAAAGACGAACCAGAAATATCTCTAAGAATGTGATAATAAACCAAAAAATTGTCGCAATCTTCTTTACCTCCCAAAGCATCTCGTCCTATTCGATGTAAAAGATGGCATATATTAGCACAATCCTGCTCATTTTAGGGCATTAATGTCATTTTTGAGGTCCGTCATCATTTTGATTTTGGGCTTTATCTGCATTCCTTTTGGGCTCTAACTCTCAAACTTTGGACCCTTATGAGTACTGCCTTAGGGAAAGCTTATTCAAGTAAATATTTCTTCAATACATAAGAGTTAGGTTATTCTTGTAAAACTCTTTGTGAATTGAACATTTAAGGCTTTTTATCAAAATTGACCTTAGGTCCCTTCATGCATTCATATCATACATGAAAAATTGTTTTTATGTAAAAATATTGGCTAAGTATGAAAAATGGTTTTTTAGAATAATCGTTATCTCAAGATAATTTTTGGCGGCTTTTATTCCTTACACATCAAATAAGAAAACTTGATTTTATGGAATTTTAGTACGAAATATATATTAACTTAATGAGCCATCATTTTTAGCCTAAATCGTATTTTGCACTAAAATCAATTTTTCATATTTTGATTTGGTGGGAATTTGATTTTCTAGTATTTTTATTTGAATCCAAATGAGAGGTACTTCCTTATTTACATTGTAAACTTAAGTAAATGGAGTAATATAAAAATAAGGGTGCGATGTGCTGCTGTGCTGCACCCTCTAGAGCATTTTATCAAGCAGTTTGTGAACAATTTGTAGGGGTCAACATCTTCGCCTCCAATGGTGAATTCCGGGCTTGCAGTGGTCAATTGACCCCTATTGCCCCTATTTGAATCCACCCTTGTCTGATACCGTGTTAAAATTAGACTATTGATCTCAAAACTTTTTACAATGAATTAAAATGCGTAAATTTTATATATTGTGAGTCAAGGCTTCGAATACTTTAATTTGGGGATTTTATGTTCTCAACACGTACTTGTGTGTGGCTGGCTGGAACAGATTATGTTAGGCAGGCAATCTTGTTTGTGGCTGGAACAGATTATGTTAGGTATATGTTGGAATACATGTGGCCAAATTGGGGTAAAGGATATTTTTAGGCATGAAAGTTTGTTGGTTCCATATTTTAAACTGTTCAGACATGGATCAATAATTTTTGTATATTATTTTCATGTTAACCAATGAAAAAGTGGTTATTTTAAGGAGTCCTTCGATATGGGTCCAATTGTGAGTTTACACCATGAATGCAGTTCATTTCTCTTTTGACGTAGAATTGGGTCCAGGGACTCAACAGGCCAGCCAAGTATGCAAAGTCTCGGCCACTGTTTTTAAAACATTTACACATATTGCCATTATATAGTCAATCCTCTAAATTTCTCTTTTGACGTAGAATTGGGTCCAGAGACTCAACAGGCCAGCCAAGTATGCAAAGTCTTGGCCACTGTTTTTAAAACATTTACACATATTGTCATTATATAGTCAATCCTCTAAATTTCTCTTTTGACGTAGAATTGGGTCCAGGGACTCAACAGGCCAGCCAAGTATGCAAAGTCTTGGCCACTGTTTTTAAAACATTTACACATATTGCCATTATATAGTCAATCCTCTAAATTTCTCTTTTGACGTAGAATTGGGTCCAGAGACTCAACAGGCCAGCCAAGTATGCAAAGTCTTGGCCACTGTTTTTAAAACATTTACACATATTGCCATTATATAGTCAATCCTCTAAATTTTATTAATTACTGCAATCAATAAATTAATGTCACATTTCTACAATTAATCTCAATTTATCAAACACTTTCAACCATTGAATACCTTATGATGAGGTATATATGTCTTTGGGTGGTTTGATTTACCTGCTTTGCAGGTTTGTGTATACCTCCTTTATAGGTAATTTCATATCATATATCTCCTCCATAGGTAATTAACATTCATATGTATACCTCCTCTATAGATAAATAGCATTCATATGTATACCTCCTCCATAGGTAATTTACCTATTCATACCTAATTAACATTCATGTATGTTCCTTGTCCATAGATAATTATATAGAGAGAGAGAGAGAGAGAGAGAGAGAGAGAGAGAGAGAGAGAGAGAGAGAGAGAGAGAGAGAGAGAGAGAGAGAGAGAGAGAGAGTGGGCATTGGCCAAGAAGGCAGCACAAGGTAGACGACGGGTTGAGGTGGGTGGTGACTCTTTTTTCTTTTTTTGATTTTTTGGTTTCTTAGTTTTATTCAAAAGATAATAATTAGATTTCAAATCCAGCTATGAAAAACAATTAAAATTATTATTCCTAAATGACATATGGCATATTTTCAATGGAAATATCATAAGATGAGGTGGTAGTATGATACTATTCTATAATTTCTCATGGATTGCACCCAAATTCTATCAGAAGAATTGGACTTGTACCGAATTATTTATTATTTTAATCATAAACTGGAACCTTATTAAAATTAATAATAAATTTAATTGAGGCAGTTGAGTCTTTGATTTAGTCCTTGTATATTAGAAACAATCTTAAAGTTACAAACTGTTACACCATTTAGTCTCTGTGTCAATGTAACACACAAATCACAGCAATTTGTAAAGGAACACTTAGAACATTAGGGTTTCTTATAAATCATTTGTTTTCTCATGACATCCGTTAATTTAGCGTTTATGTAAAAGAAAGATGGGTTCATCAAGTGCTAAGTGAAAAAATACAAATGTTAACCAAGGTGGTTGGTGTGAGTGGTTCGGCACTCTCATTCCTTAAGAGAATGTCAGGGGTTCGATCCCTGCTCTCGTATGGAGTCACCACTTTGTCCAGCACTTTACTCCTTAAGGGCCAACCCGGTGTGAGTGGGGATTGGTCTGGGTTGTGGTTAAGGCTTAAAGGTGCCACCCATAGTTGGGGCCCATCCAGGACCACCTCGTGGTTTAGACCAAAAAAAACATATATATAAATGTTATTTTGACAACAAAAATAAAAAAAATAAAAAAATTGTCATACTGAAACTAACGAAGGGGCCAATGATACAAGGATTCCTAACTTATAATTATTTTTATAAAATTTTTTAAAAGTTATGCACCAAATTGTCATTGACCTCAAATTAGAGGGATGCAAAGCTTGTGTAGTCTGACACGTGTCATCCAATCCAACCCGACCCATCAAGTCCTTTGTTCGGGTCAGATGACCCGAATTTTATTCAAACAAACCAGTCATGATAAAAGCGGCACTGCCGCGCTGCTGACGGAGACTACTCCTCCTCCTCCCTCACTTCTGTTTCTGCGGCACTTTAAACAAAACAAAACATTTGGAACGGCGGCAACCATCAGACTCTCAATTGGAGTAGGCATCGGGTGCGAGAAAGACTATTCCACCAACTACAATCTGACAATTTGCAAAGAAACACCCTGTAAAACAAAACGAAAAAGACAGGAACCGAAAAAACACTGCACCACCAAACTGAGAAAATGAAAGACAACGAGCAATCGCCACACCGCTTCTACGACGGTATCTGCCAGAAAAATATCGTCCTTGCCACCGTAATTGATATAAGCAAGCAAACAGGAAACTAAAATAGCACAAACTCAACACAACGAACAAGAAACAAACAAAATCTTCGACAGAAAATCTGTGACGGCGTAAATGCAAAATAGAACAACCAGATGGAGCAAAACCTCCGACGGTAAAGGCGTGACAGTTTAAAGCTTGTTAGCAGAAGAGGCCTCATGATACATTTCAGTTTATCATTATCTCAACCAAATGAGATAATCAAGCGATGTAGGCAAAATATGTTTAAATCATCATTGGCCTCACTTAATATATATAACAAAAACATTGATAGAGGAAAAGAAAGATGCCTCAAAGAGTTAGAAAATAATTCATTGGAAAAGATGGACATGCAAGGCTTCGATCGAATGGAGAAGCACTGCATTCCGATCATCTCTGAGGTTTTCTTCAAACAAAACAGAAACAGATGGGATGTGATTGTATGAATGGGAAGAGGAAATTTATATAAAAGGTTTAGGGAGGTGGAACACTTCAATTTGGCAACTTCGCAGCAAAAGCTAAAAATACTTGCCTGTTTTTAAGCTTGCGCAACACACAATACTGTTGGGAATTTGTATTATCTCTATTTTCATATCCAATTCGGACTATTCTACCCGAAACTTTGTTTATTATTATTATTTTGGTCAAATTCAGCTTTCAATAAAAGACCCACAAGCTGGGGAGGCACGTGGTACACCAAGGCTAACCACGTAGCCCAGAAAACTACAAACCATGACACAAGCAAAGCAAGAGCGCCGACTTGGTGGCCCAGGCAGGCCATCCCGGGAGAGAACAAGCACTAGGGAGGGAGGGGGCTGAGAAGCCCATCTAAGATGCCACATGGGCAGCTTTGTTGGCAGTGCGAGGAATCCATGCCCTTTGAATGGATGAGCACGTGTTTAATTATTTATGTCCTAAACCCTAAACTTTGTTTATTTATTTATATGTTCAACATGTGTTTAATTTGGAAGTGGGTAACGATTGGCTACGGGATATGGTTTTAACATAATGGTCAAGATTTCAGTTCTAACTGATTGGGCCGTAAGACTATTCTACCCCAAATTGGTGTCCAATTTGGACTTTACGGAAATTTCAACTTTTCTTTATTGTGGTAAGGGCCACAAGCTTATTTTATTATCCAATTTTTACTAAACCTGTCCAATGCAAACCCAAATACATAATAGTTTGTTAGGCTATCCTCAATGGTTGAGGCTCTAAAAGAAGTTGATAGAGCCTTATTTAGAGCTTCGATGAATCTTTGGGGTTTTAAAGGCATCTCTTCCACAGTGAGAGGCTCTATATTAGGAGTTTAATTTTTTATTATTTTTTATGATGTAATTTAATTTATGTGCTATTTTTGTTTTTTGTTAACTTATTTTTTTTTTTTTTTTTTTTTTTTTTTTGTGAACATTTCAACTCAAAAAAAAAAAAGAAAAAAAAAGGACAAGATTTGAAAACATGGTTAAAAAAATAATAATAAACCTAGTTGTTTAGAACTTGAGGGTTGTAGCCTAAGTCAACTTTACAAATAAAATAAAATAAAATAAAAAGAAGACAAGCTTGTTGCAATTGGCCGAATGATTATATATATATATATATATATAAAATGGTCAGCAACTATCAAAATGGACAAGTATGACTCTAGTGAGTTGCAAGGCAAGTGAGCCAAAAAATTGTTGGGTTGGCAGCTTTTTCCAGATGTGGTCTCCATCGAGATTCAAGGGCTGCAACCGAGTACACAGATTTGGATTCAACTCCGGTTGGGCTTTAAAGCCTCAAATTTGTACCATTGGTTTGTTTTTTTTGTTTTTTTTTTTTTTTCTTTTTTTTTTTTTTTTATTATTTTTTTTTATTTGATTTTTTCCTAAAGGTGGTGCAGCCCATTTTAAGCCCCTATTGGGGACGACCTTAAATTTTTGAGGGGGCCAAGGCCTGGCCTTGGTATAGCTCTGGCCATTAAGTACAAATAAAACTTTGATTCCCGTCTCCCTTATTCATTCTGATGTTTAGGGCCCTGCTCAAATCACTATTCTGGTTGGAGCTCGATGATTTATCACTTTCATTGACGACTACACCTGAATGACCTGGGTTTCCCTTCTCAAAACCAAAGGGGAAGTCAGTTTGACATTTTAATAATTCCATAAAATGGTGGCGACTCAGTTTCATGCCCAAATACAGGTTCTCCGTTCTGACAATGGTGGAGAGTTTCTTAATCATGATCTCAAAAAATTCTTACAGGATCATGACATCATACATCAACGCTCGTGTCCATATACTCCCTCAACAAAATGGGGTGGCTAAGCGAAGGAACCGATATTTATTGGAAGTCGTTCATGCATCTTTATGTAGTGCAAACATGCCTCGATCGTTTTGGGACGAGGACGTCTTCTCTGCAACTTACTTTATAAATAAGATTCCCTCAAGTATATTGAATTTCCAAACTCATCATCAAGCACTTCACCGCCATCTCCAAACACCTCCCACCCCAAACCCTGAACAACAGATTTTCGGCTGTGTTGTATTTGTACACTTCTATGATTACCAATGTAACAAATTGGATCCCCGTGCAGAAAAGTGTGCTTTTATTGGCTATGCACCTCATCAGAAAGGCTACTGATATTATCACCCTTCAAGTCAGAAGGTATATACCTCCATGGATGTAGTGTTTTGGGAACACGAATTTTTTAAAAGCACCGGAGGAGAATCTAGAACTAAACACCTAGACTTTTTTGGACTTTTTCACAATTGAAGAGATTTAGCATCAAAGCGATCGATTGCCCATCCACAACGATCGATCACCCCCTTTTATTCCTTCATAGGCGGAGCCACTGTGTCAAAACGACCGGTCGCTCTGCCCAAATAATCAGTCGCTTTGTCCTCCTTTGCCAAACATTGAGCCTTTGTCGCCAGTGGAAAACGACCAATCGACTCCATGCTACCAAAATCAGGAGGAGGAAGTTGAAACTTTTTTAAGAGATTTTGCCTGATTTGAACCCGCCTCAGCTCTAGTACCACACAATCACCTTCTAAGGAAGTCATTCAGGTAACATATCCCCCTGAAACTAATAACACTAATGAAATATACCATAATGATTCGATTTCAAAAAGCATAAATGATACAGATACCCCTATATATTAGCTTCCAGAAAGGAAGAACCGTGGTAAACCTCGAGTATAGTACGAAACAGATCTTAAAGTCAAAGGGAAATACCCCATCAATAATTAGTAGAGTCATGTGTACATTTTGTGAAGTAGTTGACCAATATATCTGTCCCAAATAGTGTGAATGAAGCACTAGAAGACTCAAAATGGAAAGAAGCCATGAATGAAGAAATGTGAGCCTTCTAGAAGAATGCTACATGGGAGCTCATGCCTTTACCTCACGGAAAGAAGACGGTGGGATGCAGGTGGATCTATATTGTAAAACTAAAAGTAGATGGATCCATTGAAAGATATAAAGCTAGATTGGTGGCGAAGAGGTACACACAGAGATATAGGGTGGACTACTAAGAGACCTTTGCCCTAGTAGCCAAGATGAACATTATCGGAGTCATATTGTCTCTAGCAGCAAATCTAGATTGGCCACTATATCAGTTCAATGTTAAAAATGTCATCTTACATGGAGACTTGGAAGAAGAGGTATACATGGATTTACTACCAGGATGTAATATAGCTCATGACAAGAAAAATCAAGTTTGGAAGCTCAGAAAATCATTATACAAGTTAAAACAATCTCCTAGGGCATGATTTGGCAGATTTACTAAGTCCATGACGAATTTTGGATACATTCAAAGTAATTTAGACCATACCCTGGTCTTGAAGCGTGATGGAGGAAAAATCACTGCATTAATTGTTTATGTGGATGATATGGTCGTAACTGGGATTGGCACAGGTGAGCAACCGAAGCTACAAAAGTATTTATCTCAGGAATTTGAGATGAAGGATTTAGGTGCTCTGAAATACTTCCTTGGAATTGAAGTAACAATGTCAAAAACTGGTATACTTCTATTTCAAAGGAAGTATGTGATGGATTTACTTGTTGAAACAAGAATATTTGGATGTAAGCCTGCTGACACACCCATTGAGATGAATCACAAGTTGTGTGAAGATATAGACCGGGTGCCTACTAATAAGGAATAATATCAGCACCTTGTTGGAAGGTTGATATATTTGGCACACACAAGACCAGATATTGCATATGCTATAAGTGTGGTTAGTCAATTTATGCATTCTTCTAGTGTTTCTCATAGAAATGCAGTTGATCGAATCTTAAGGTACTTAAAGTTAGCCCTAGGAAAGGGACTAATGTTCTCTAATAATAGAAATCTTGAAGTTATTGGATATACAGATGCTGACTGGGCTGATTCCATTATATATAGACGCTCTATATCGGGTTACTTTACATTTGTTGAAGGTAACCTTGTCAGTTGGCGGAAAAAAAAAAAAAAAAAAAGTAGTTCTAGATCTAGTGCAAAAGCAAAGTATCGATGAATGGCTTAAGGAGTTTGTGAATTATTGTGGATTAGAGGACTTCTGACAGAATTGGGTTTCAAATCAGAAAAGCCCATGGAGTTACATTGTGATAACAAGTCAGCTCTCGATATTGCTCATAATTCAGTTCAACATGATTGAACCAAACATGTTGAGGTGGATAGACATTTCATCACAGAAAAAATTCAGAACAAGATCATTTGTCTACCCTTCGTAAAATCAGAAGATCGATTAGCAAATGTCTTAACAAAAGCTATTTGTGGAATAGTGTTTTATGACTCACTTACCAAGTTGGGCATTGGTGATGTGTATGCACCAACTTGAGGAGGAGTGTTGATGTGAACTATCCTAATTAATCAAGGAGATTTATTTCCTTGATTAATTAGGGGATTTACTTCCTTATTTTATATAGTTTGGAGATATTCTCCTAATTGATTACTATATATATTTCCTTGTAAAACACTCATGTAAACTCCTATATATACCTCCTTATGGAGAAGAATACAATTAACCTAAAGTACTCAAACCATATTCATATTTTAGGAGTGAGGACAGTTGATGGCTTATTCTAGTTCTTTTCTCTGCCTCAAATGATAAAGGTGTTCAATATTTATCAAGTGCAAATAAGAAATAAAGGGCTAAATCGAATTAAAAATAGTCACAAAAAAATAACAGGACTAAACTAGTTGCAAACATACAATGCAATTTGAATCGCTACTACAAAATAATAGCAATAAGTATTGTTATGAGAAAGATAAACAACATACAATTAAAGCAAAGTAAATGGAAAAGAAAGCAAAACTCGATTCGGGCCGAAGAGTTGTCAACTTGAACTGATTGGCTGCAGCAGGAAATTAAGATCGTCTATTGGAAATTATACTAACGCAAAGATGTGGCAGAGCAATCTTCGAAAACAATGGTGAGATCTTGCAAAAGTTGTCAATTGGAAATCCTCCAAATCTGTATTAGAATTGGTTTGGAATCAGTTATGATGATTGTTGTGATCACAGTTGTAGAAGCATATTTACAGATCCTATGTCAAATAATTAATCTAATCAATTTGAGACTTATTTGACTAAACTAATTAACTCAATCTCTCCAACTTGAGAGAGAATAATTCCTTTTCATGTGTGAAATTAATTTTCCGAAACTTTAGCCTTCGAGGCTCCTATAAATACATGGCTACGCATAAGGTTTGAGGGACATATGAAACTATGCAAAAATCCCTTCTCTCAAACCCTAGCCGCCACACACACACACATACTCTCTCTCTCTCTCTCTCTCTTTCTCTCTCTCTCTCTCACACACACACACACACACACACACACACACACACACACACACACACACACACACACACACACACACACATACACACAAGACTCTGGCCACTCGGTTCTCCTCGAGAGAAATCTCCGTACACTTTGTTAGCTACTGTTTATCCTACACACAGTTGACCTAAACTAGGCATCGGAGGGCCTTTGCCCAACACCACTGGGTGTGGTCTTTTCACTTTGTGTTGTTTTATAGGGAACAAGAGAAGCGAAGAGGAAGACGAGATCTCAAGACAAATATTCTCTAGGGAGGAAAATCACTCCCATAACAGTTGCTTAAACATTGCCTCTAAATACTTTCCTTGAAAATATTTTCCTATTTCCAAATATTACTTTCATTTGGTGATTATAAGAAATAATTTCCTTGTAATCTTCTATTACAAATTTTGGTTAAAAAGAGAAAACTGTTGTGAAACTAGGGAATTTGTAAGGAGAGATAAGAGGAAGAAAGAGGCAGTATAATTTGCTCAAATCAACTTGTATTCCATTTATATTTGGATCCACTATTTATAGGGGTAGAGAGGCCTAAATCATTTACCAACCATAATTGGTAGGTTACAAGTATATAATGATGGGTATTATGATAGGTAAATAGTGGCTATTATTGTGGGCATCCATAACCTACAAACCCATAACGTATGGATTTATAACACTCCCCCCTTGGATGTCCACCATACAATGACATCATGTTGGACGTTCTAAATGTTGTCTCGTTAAAAACCTTGTCAGGAAAAACCACATGGGATAAAAACTTGATCCAAGGAAAAAGGAGTACATTGCACATACATCCGATGTAATAAAACTGAGGAGTTTCCTCGATTGATATCTCCCCCTGATCTTCAACAGTCTAATTGCTTGTAAAGTCGTTGCATCCCTATACCATATACCAACTTCTGAAATATAGACTTCGGAAGAGCTTTGGTGAAAAGGTCTGCTAGGTTATCTTGGGAACGAATTTGCTTGACTTCAATCTCTTGATTCTTCTTAAGCTCATGTGGGTAGAAGAACTTTAGTGGTATATGTTTGGTTCTGTCACCCTTGATAAACCCTTCTTTAATTTGAGCTATACAAGCAGCATTGTCTTCATAAATAATTGTCAGAGCTTTTGTTGTTGAAGAAAGATCACATGTTTTCCGAATATGATGAACTAGGGATCTTAACCAAACACATTCTCTACTGGCCTCATGGAGCGCAAGAATTTTTGCATGATTAGAAGAGGTAGCAACCAAAGTTTGTTTTGTAGATTGCCATGAGATCGTTGTGTTTCCACAAGTAAACACATAACTAGTTTGGGAGCGACCCTTATGTGGATCAGAAAGATACCCAGAATCCGCGTATCCAACAAGATTTGGACCGTTGGAAGGTTCGTTCGAATAAAATAGGCCCATATCAGTTGTTCCGCGAAGGTAGGGCAAGATGTGCTTTATACCATTCCAGTGTCTACGTGTTGGAGCTGAGCTATGCCTGGCTAATAAATTTACTGGAAATGAAATATCTAGCCTAGTACATTGGGCTAAATATAATAAAGCACCTATCGCACTAAGATATGGTACTTTTGGAACAAGTATCATTTCATCATCCTCTTTAGGATGGAATGGATCTTTATTTGTGTCTAATGGACGAACTACCATTGGAGTGCTCAACGAGTGGGCATTATCCATATAAAATTGCTTCAAAATTTTTTCAGTGTAAGCTGATTGATGGACAAGATCTACAAGCCCAAACAATATTTAGTTTTTCCAAGGTCTTTCATCTCAAATTCACACATTAAATATTCAGCAGTGTTAATGATCTCTTCCGGAGTTCCAATTAAGTTCATGTCGTCGACATACATTGCTACGATTGCAAATCCAGAATTTGATTTCTTTATAAAAACACAAGGGCATATGGGATCATTGATGTAGCCTTCCTTAATCAAATATTCACTAAGACGATTATACCACATTCATCCGGATTGTTTCAACCCATATAGTGAAAGTCTCGGCTTAATGGAGTACATGTTCCGTGATTTAGTGTTTGATTCTGCCAACTTGAGTCCTTCTGGGACTTTCATATAAATATTGGCATCTAACTCCCCATATAATTATGTAGTAACAACGTCCATAAGACGCATGTCAAGTTTTTCTAAAACTACTAGACTTATTAAATAACGGAACGTAATTGCATCCATAACATGAGAATATGTTTCTTCATAATCAATCCCAGACCTTTGAGAAAAGCCTTGCGCTATGAGTCGTGCCTTATACCTTGCAATCTCATTTTTCTCATTACGCTTTCTTGTGAACACCCATTTATATCCCACAGGTTTTACACCTTGTGGTGTTTGAACCATAGGTCCAAATACACCACGTTTTTCCAAGGAATTTAACTTAACTTGGATTACGTCTTTCCACTTTGGCCAATCAAGCCTCTCTTTGCATTCATCAACAGATTGTGGTTCAATATCTTCATAACCTTTTATAATTTCAGCAGCTACTGCGAAAGAAAAAATATCATTGATAACAATTTCACTACGGTCCCACAATTCATCATTGCATGCGAAATTTACAGAAATTTCTGTATTAGGTATCTTTTCCTCTTCAGTGGCCTGTGTATTTTCAATGACACTTTCACTCTCTGGATGAATTGTAGGTTCAAGGTCAATCTCTTTCCCAATAATATCTTCATGAGCGTTTTCATTGGGGTTGGAATATGCTTTTGATTTTCGCTTTCTAGGAGCTGAATCCTTCGAACCAATGGGTCTACCTCACTTGAGGCATGCAGTAGATGATTCATTTGCTGCAACATTGGTTAATTCGATTGGGATATCAATCCTTGCTGGTGTATTTGCTGCAGGTATATGTGATTGTCACTTTTCCTATGTCAGTGAATGCATCTGGCATTTGATTAGAAATTTGCTGAAGGTGGACAATCTTTCATACTTCATTTTCACTTTGAGTTGTACGAGGGTCAAGATGAGACATAATGGATATTTTCCAACCTAATTCACGCTGTTTTTCAGGAACGGTCTTTTCTTCCCCTAACGGTAGGAAGAATGTCTCATCATAGTGATAGTCCGCAAAGCGTGCTGTAAAAGTATCTCATGTCATAGGTTCGAGATAGCGAATGATAGTTCGTGAATCAAAACCAATGTATATTCCCAATCGATGTTGAGGACCCACTTTAGTGCATTGTGGGGGTGCAATTGGCACATAAACTGCACAACAAAAAACCTTAAATGTGATATATTGGGTTGTCTCCTAAAGGCAAGTTGTAAAGGGGAGAATTAGTGTTGGGCAACCGGCCTCAAGCGGACTAAAGTTGCTGCATGTAAAATTGCATGTCCCTAAGCGGAAGTTGGAAACTTTGTCTTCAATAGCAAAGTGCGAGCAATGAACTAGAGATGCTTAATAAAAGCTTCTGCTAATCCATTTTGAGTATGGACGTGGGGAACTGGGTGCTCAACATCAATCCCAAGTGACATGCAATAAGCATCAAAAGTTTGGGAGGTAAACTCACCAGCGTTATCAAGTCGAATTGACTTTATTGGATAATCAGGGAATTGTTCTCGGAATTTAATTATCTGAGCAAAGAGCCTAGCAAAAGCAACATTGCGAGTTGACAATAGGCAAACGTGTGACCATCTTGTAGATGCATCGATTAAAACCATAAAATAATGAAATGGTCCACAAGATCGGTGAATTGACCCACAAATATCCCCTTGAATTCTCCGTAAGAAAGATGGACATTCAAAGCCAAGTTTTGAAGGAGATGGTCTGATGATCAATTTCCCTTGGGAGCAAGCTTTGCAAGATTGGTTAATGGACAAAGTACTATGGTAAGGCTTTAAAGGATGTCCATTTGAATTTGAAATAATCCTACGCATCATTGTGGATCCAGGATGCCCAAGACAATCATGTCAAAGCATGAAAGTCGTTGGGTCAATGAACTTCTGGTTCATGATAGCATGGACTTCAACTGCTTTGATGGTTGTATAATACAACCTAGAAGAGAAAGCAGGAAGTGTTTCCAATATACACCTCTGGCTGTTGATATTGGTGGTAATGCAAAGATACTCCACATTGTGATCCTTTCGAGTTTCAATATGGTATCCATTCATTCGAATGTCTTTAAAGCTAAGTAAATTTCTTCTCGATCTCAAAGAGTACAAAGCATTATCAATGGAGAATTGAGTCCCATTGGGTAACAAAATTTGAGCTCTTCCAGAGCTATCAATTAGGTATGCAGAACCTAGTATGGTAGTTACCTTTGCTTTTGATAAATGTAAATTATCAAATTATTTTTTATCTCGAAGAATTGTGTGCGTAGTTGCACTATCCACAAGACAAATATCGTCGTCATTTATCCCAAAACGAGAGCATCCATGATTGTTTTCCATGCCAAGAGCTTTCGTGCTGATAACGTGTTGTGAAACTAGGGAATTTGTAAGGAGAGATAAGAAGAAGAAAGAGGCAATATAATTTGCTCAAATCAACTTGTATTTCATTTATATTTGGATCCACTATTTATAAGGGCAGAGAGGCCTAAATCATTTACCAACCATAATTGGTAGGTTACAAGTATATAATGATGGATATTATGATAGGTTAATAGTGGCTATTATTGTGGGCATCCATAACCTATAAACCCATAACGTATGAATTTATAACAAAAACTGTAATTTTTTTTATTTAAAAAAAAAGCTAAACAAAAGAATAAAATAATTCACAATATAGTACCATTGCCCCTCGCAAGTGCACAACGATGTCTTCTTTTTGGCTTGAGTTTCCAACCTTGTCTCCTTCTGTAGAAAACCTTGCCTATCATAACCGTGACAGAGACACCGAAGTCTTTCTTCTGAATCAAAAAACACCAACACCTCACTACAACTACAGCAACCTCTTTCTTTTTCATAATCTGATCAAGTGCTGCTGAGGAAGCATTCAGTTTGGGTGCAGAGCCAACCAAATGGCAGGTGAGGAAGTGTCACCACTAGCACAAGTCAACCCAATTGACAAGGAAGCCTTCAAGTTGGGGTTCATTGGGGCTGGTAACTTGGCATCAAGTGTTGCAACCGGATTGGTCAAGCAGGGTATAGTACCAGCTTCAAGAATTTTCACGGCACACCGGAACCCGGAAAGCAGGGTGAATTTTACATCCATGGGAATTAAGGTTTTCCCCAAAAATCATCAGGTACATGTCTCTTTATGGTCATAGTCGAAGTCAATGCATTTATATCATGGAACATATATATAAGGCAATTTTTCCATTATGGACAGTTGGCCTCGGCAGTGAGGCTGTCAGTTTCTTGTGTTAGTTGTTAATTGGTGCTCCCTTCTTGCTGAGTTTGGTTGGGGCTGTCCCATTCTCAATATATTCATTGAGTTTGGTTGTAGCTGGTTCGTTGTTTTCATTTTCAATATATTCATTGATTTACCCAATAAAAATTGAACCTTTATTTGTTGTTATTTGCTGAATGTGGCACAAATGAAAAACAAATAGAGTTAGGAGATGGGTTGTAAAGCCAGAGCAATTACAGGGGAACTGCAGAAAAGCAATTACAAAGGGACAGTAAAAAAAAGAAACCAAGACAGTAGTTCTAATGGAAAAGGAAGATAGTTTCGTGTGGCAGTTTTCGCTATACGAATATGTTCTACGGATTATGCGTCCAAATATTTGCAAATGTTTGTATTTTTCATTAATGTGATATTGCTATATATTTGTTTGCTGGAAAGGAAAAGAAGGCGAATATGTAGTTTCAATGTACTAAATCCAGTCATGTTTGCCTACATTGCTGCAAGAGACAAGAAGTCCCCTATTCTTCAATTGCTGGACAAAACAAATTATTTACTCATATATTAACAAACTTTGATTTAATTAATTTTTGTACTGCTTCCGTGATATTATACTGCTCTTATAGTTCCCTTTTTTCCTTTCTCCTTTTCTTTTCCATTAATATCATGGACAGGTAGCTGAAGAGTGTGATGTAATCATTTTCGCAGTGAAACCTCAAATACGTACGCCTTCTTTCGCTTGGTTTTCTTTTCCCCTCCATATTTGAATATGAAATAATTTGACATGCATTCTTATTAACGCTCTGTTGATCACTGATAATCCTTATGAAGTTTTATCTTCTTTTATCATAAACTGGATTGTTGGATATGCAGTTAAGGAAGTAATCTTGGACTTACGGCCACTACTTTCACAAAATAAACTTCTTCTGTCACTTGCTGTGGGACATAAATTGCAAGCTCTGCAGGTTTGTATAGATGACTGCTATATGAAATTGACGACTTGTTGCATAAATGCTTAATAATAGAATCTCAATAATGTTAAGGGATGACGACGGAACTTCTCAACCAATTTATTACAAAATGATGATTTCTTAGGTTCATGTCCTCTGACTCTAGATTCACACTCTTAGCCGGTCATTGAATCTCAACTGTAAGACATGCTCAAAGCATATTGCGATATTTAGACAATTCCGGTCCGGTTAAAATTCATCTTCCCAGTTGACTCTGTGTAGATGTTATCATCAATCACAATGTGGTCTGTCTACTTTGCCAATTGCTATACAGGTTTTATGGAATATCTTCTAGCAACTTAATATTGGAAAACATATGCATTTTATCTATGATATGAAGGTTAAGAGTTGTTTTTCATTCGATACAGGCTGATTTTCACTTTGATAGTAAACATGATTCATTATTATGGAATTCTGCAGACGCTCAACATTATTCATTAGGTCGTTCATGAATACTCTCTGGAAGATTTCAGTTATCTGTTATACTGTTACAATTTATTCTTTTGAACTGGTACTGTTACAATTCGAAAGTCCTGTTTCCTTGACCAATTCCAAAAATACCTTAGTTATCAAATCTATTATGTTCGTTTTGAAGTGTCATTTTGGTTTATCTTTACTAAGGTAAGGATGAATCTAATATCTAGTGAGTAAAAGCGGTGGTCATCATAGATGGAAAAGTAAGCCAAATTAGATAGAATCATGATTGCTTACAAATTTTCTCATGTTCTATCCATTACCATTACCAGAAGAAATGATACTTCAATGCAAACATTTCTACTCTTTCCTGTGTCCTTAAGCTATCTGTTGGTAGCGTTACTGTGATATGCTTGAAAAAGTTTTCAAAGATTATTAATTTACAGTCAAGTTTCTGAACTTTCATATTTTTAATACTTATTTGTTCAAGGCTTCTATCCAGGAATGGGTCGGTCATGGTCGATTTGTTAGAGTAGTCCCCACTACTGCTTCTATCATTGGTGAGGCAGCTACAGGTAACAACTAATTCCTTGTTCTCACATTTATCGTATTATACTGAAAGAAATGCTTTCTACGTCTGAATTATTTAACTTCACTGCCATTTGGCCATATTTGGGAACTGGATTATGAGGTAGGATTGGATTGTACTGGATTACATTTGATTGGAGAGGATAACTAGTCCAATCCTATGTTTGACAACGACGGAGAGCTAATGTACTTAAATTAAACAGTTATGCACTTGGGAGAAGCTGCAACAGAAAATGACGGAGAACTAATAGCAGATCTATTTGGAGCAGTTGGCAAGGTGTGGAAAATGGATGAGAAATTGTCTGATGCTGCTGCTGCAGTCGGGTACGTACATGTCTTTGCTATCATCAGAGATAAACATAATCACTCATGTAAACTGGGGTAGCATATTGTTGCTGCTGCTGTATCATTCTTGTTCTAAATCAAAAGATACATAATCACGCTTGTAAACTAGGAAGTATCTGGTTACTGCTTATGTATATCATTAGAGTTTGGAATGCACCTGCTCTTGCACTTACACATCATTCTGTGTGCACATATGTTCATCTGTCAACAAATATTTAGAGGTACATTTGATTACTGCTCTTCTGTTTATTTCTATTGGCACTTTGTGGAGTACTAAACACCATAGATGTGTCCTCTCGCATACGCATCTCTTTCAATTTTCAAAAAAGAAAATGCATAATTGAAGGGGTAGAGTCATGCATCAATAGCCGTTCACCAAAGTTAGTGGCTTTTTGTTTGGATAATTTTGCAGCGGTGCTGGTACGGCATTTGTATATATAGCAATAGAAGCTATGGCTGATGGAGGTGTAGCCGGAGGCTTACCACGAGAAATTGCTTTGAGTCTTGCTGCTCAAGCTGTAAGTGGAAATTGTTATGTATATCTGAAGAATCTAGTGGTGTATTATAAGCTATAACGTTTATATATCTTGACACTCCATTATCTTTCTCCAAGATTTGTCTATGCTGGGTACTGGATATATGCTTCTGAAAACAATTCAAGGCCTTAAATGAGATAGCTAAAAAGCTCAGACTTCTACTTTGGATTCACAGAACACACATTCTAGTGAGGGGTTATACAAACGTACGGATTTTTCACGGTCCATTTAGAAAGTGACTTTTAGCAAAGAATAGCTTCTGTTTCATTCTTCAGCCACTTCCAGCTTCTTTTCTTGAGTTAATAATGCAGGCATTTAATAGGTTTAGATGCACAAATATCTGAGTGATCAGAACATCATTTTTTAAGAAATGAAGTTGATTGAACCTTGAGATATTGTTTTGAAACATTTTGGAGGATCATAATTTCAACGGAATATAAGATGTTCTTATAGAATGCTCCTCCAAGTTTCTTCTCGCTCTATAGACACTTACAACCTCACGCAGGCTCATGATATGCCATGCTTTTGCCTGGCAATTATATTCTTTAGGACCTGGTCCTCATGTTATGAACAATTCTAGGCTTCTGATTTATATATTTTCCCTTATGTCTCTCTTGTTCTGCTGAAGTTCTACGGAGCAGCTGCCATGGTAATGAAAACAGGAAAACATCCAGGTCAGCTGAAAGACCAAGTTGCTTCACCAGGAGGAACCACCATTGCTGGGATTCATGAGCTTGAGAAGGGTGCTTTTCGCGCAAGCATGATGAATGCGGTTGTTGCTACTACCAAGCGTAGCCATGAGATGGGCCAATGACTTGGCTTTCCATGCGTAAATTACCCCTAGTAGGGTTGGTTATGCTTATGACAACGACATCAGAAAGTTACTCCGAATGCAGGAGACTGGCCATTCCAGCCAATTTGTACCATGTTGCTCATGGTATGATGCTTCTGCATTGTGTTGAAGTGGATTCTACTTCCAGTGTATGAATGTACATTTGACTGCTATGTAAAATAAAGGGAGTTTCACTAAAACATCCAAAATAGGAGCTAAAATTATAAAAAAAACAACATGGAATGCACTTTAGAAATACACCCAAAATCCATTTACTATATAAGAAATTGGTGTTGAAGTTCCTATAAATTACAGGACTGCCACTGAAAAAAAACTCAAAAAACACCCAAAACAAGCCCAATCCAATTTTAAAAAAAAGCCAAACTTATTTTTTTTTTTTTTTTTTTTTTTTCAAAAAGTCCAAAACATTTTATTACAACACAAAACTATCTCGAAAACAGTAACTTCAAGCACGCATCTTCATTAAACCATCTCAGCAAAACATCTTTTCATTTCACCGTCTTCATCATTTATGCAAACTGAAACTCCATAACAACCACCAAGCTTGATCTACTTTCAAAAACCAACACCACACACTAACCTCCACCTGCAAAACAAAGATAAAATTTCAGAGAACAATTTCAACAAGAAAAGGCTTCAAAGATAAGACATTTAAAAACCAAACCTTTATTGTAATGTTGATTAATTGCTGTAAAGTTTCAGTATATGGTAATAACAATATTTTATATTTGAATCCAAGACAAAATTTTGAAACTATATTGGATTTTCACTATTGGACTAATTGCATATGACTATAAAATAGTCAGTTTTCAGCAACTCAAAAAAGAAAGAGATATTTAGTCATATACTCATTTTTAATACTGCTAGTTTACTTTCATGATGATTAATGGCTGTAAAGTTCCAATATAGGGTAATAATACTGATTGTTTCCTCTAAAATCCTATTTTGAATGCATATCTACCACCGTAAAGTTCCAGTATAAGGTAATAACACTGCTTGTTTCCAATGAAATCCTATTTTGAATGCATGTCTACTACTATAAAGTTTCAGTACAGAGTAATAACACTTCTTTTTTCCTATGAAATTCTATTTCTAATGCATTTAACCATTGTAAAGTTCCAATATAGGGTAATAACACTACTAGATTCTTCTGAAATCCTATTTCTAATGCATGTCTACCCCTTGTAAAGTTCCATTATAGGGTAATAACACTGCTAGATTCCTCTGAAATCCTATTTCTAATGCATGTCTAACCCTTGTAAAGTTCCAATATAGGGTAATAACACTATTAGATTTCTCTGAAATCCTATTTCTAATGCATGTATACCCTTTGTAAAGTTTCAATATAGGGTAATAACACTGCTCGATTCATCTAAAATCCTATTTCTAATGCATGTCTACCACTGTAAAGTTCCAGTATAAGGTAATAACACTGCTTGTTTCCTATGAAATCCTATTTCTAATGCATGTCTGTAAAGTTCCAATATAAGGTAATAACACTGCTACCTAACAACAAATTATAGTTGACTCAAAAACCAATAGTGCATAAACAAAAAAAACACGAATATACTCATATCAAAATTAATATGATAACAGAATCAAATATCACAAATCTATAACACAGCTCAAACCAAAACACAAAAAGCAAATCCACAACCATACTAAATTTGAAATCAATCCAAATTATAAACAAAAAAAAATTAAAATCACAATTTAAAACTCAAACAAATATCTAATACAAATTAGAACGAAATTAGAAAATCGAATAGCTTATCTCCAAATCGACAATAACAAAAATAAACATATAAAATCAAGAAGAATTGGATCTACATTTCAAATTTAAACTCCAAAACTGCAAAAATTATGAAAACTTAACCAGCAACTTAATTAATCGAACATGAAATCACCCAAATCATACTACAATAAAATCAAAAAAGTCCTTACAATACCTATACCAACATATTCAGACTAACAAGGGGAAATTTTTGGTCTTGGACCCTGGCCAAAAAGTGGCCGGAGTAATCCGGAACACTGCCAAAACCGTCGGTCAAACTAGGGTGTATTGATTAATTTCCAAAACTCCAAAATCTATCCTAACCACATACATAAACAGCTTGAGCACGAAAATTAGATAAAGTTTCATACCTCGATCGACGGAAACAATAGCCGGAGTCACCGGAAACGACGTCGGAAAACTTGAAATCCACAAACCTTTTTGAGCTCGCAGCGGCGTCATCAATGGCTGATGTGGCTGGGCTTTAGCCCAGACTTGATCGTCGGCCTTGACCGATCCTTTTCCGATAGCTGTCATGCTGGCCGTGGACGGAGCACCAAGATCGTTGGCCTAGGCTTGGTTTCTGCGAAGGGAGAGAGAGAGAGAGAGAGAGAGAGAGAGAGAGAGAGAGAGGGCCCAAATTTTTCAAAAAAAACTAATTTAATACTAAATGGGTAATAAAGGTATTTCATTTAAGTAATTAAACTAAAAATGTAATAGCTGTCAGTTTTGGGTGTGTTTATATGTTTTAAATAGTGTAGGGTATATTTATAGTTTCATGTCTAGAATTGGGTATTTCACTAATTTTGTATAAAATAAACGGTTTCTACTTTAGTAAAGTCGATTCTCTCAGTGTAAATTTTACTAAAATAACTCTCGATCTTCTGCTCTGATATCATGTTAAAATTAGACTATTGATCTCAAAACTTTGACAATGAATCGTAAATTTTATATATTGTGAGTCAAGGCTTCGAATTCTTAATTTGGGATTTTTATGTTCCCAACAAGTACTTGTGTGTGGCTGGCTGGAACAGATTATGTTAGGCAGGCAATCTTGTTTGTGGCTGGAGCAGATTATGTTAGGTGTATGTTGGAGAGTACATGTGGCCAAATTGGGGTATAGGATATTTTTAGGCTTGAAAGTTTGTTGGTTCCATATTTTAAACTGTTCAGATGTGGATCAATAATTTTTGTATATTATTTTAATGTTAACCAATGAAAGAGTGGTTATGTTAATCATAAACTGGAACCTTATTAAAATTAATAATAAATTTAATTGAGGCAATTGAGTCTTTGAGTTTAGTCTTTGTTTATTAGAAACAATTTTGAAGTTACAAATTGTTACACCATTTAATCTCAACGTCAATCCAACACACAAATCACCACTATTTTGTATAAGGATACTTACAACATTAGGATTTTCTTATAAATCATTTGTTTTCTCATGACATCCGTTAATCAACATGACATTGATTTAGTTTTTATGTAAAAGAAGGATGGGTTCATCAAGTGCTACGTCAAAAAATACAAGTGTTGTTTTAACCAAAACAATTGTCATGATGAAACTAATGAAAGGGACTAATGATGTAAGGATTCGGAACTTTATAATTATTTTTATAAAATTTAAAAAGTTAGGCATAAATTGTCATTGATCTCAAATCGGAGGGATGCAAAGCTTGTCGTAGTCTGACACGTTTCACTCAATCCAACCCGACCCATCAATTCCTTTGTTCGGGTTAGATGACCCGAATTTTATTCAAACGAACCAGTCATGATAAAAGCATCACTGCCGCGCTGCTGACTGAGACTACTTCTCCTCCTCCCTCACTTCTGTTTCTGCGGCACTTTGAGAAAACAAAAACAAACTGAATCAGACTCTGATACGCCGTCGCATTTGGCCATGGAGGCGTTACCCATCCCCACGGACACGTTCAAGCTAGGGTTCATCGGAGCAGGTAAAATGGCGGAGAGCATCGCCAGAGGGATCGTCCGATCGGGCGTTCTGCCTCCAAATCGCATCTCTACGTTCCACGCTAACCCCATTCGACGCCAAGCCTTCGAGTCCTTCGGCGTCGAGCTCCTCCTCAAAAACGACGACGTTTGGCCCTCTCTCCCTTTTCTTCTTTGTATTTCTGTCTGTATCTTTTGTGTTGAATAATTTGAGTTGCATTTCTTCTATGGTGGTTACAGGTGGTGGAAGAGAGTGATATCGTCATTTTCTCTGTCAAACCTCAAGTTGGTATTTACACTTTTCCATTATCTCTCAATTTCTCAAGGATATTGTATTTATATATTATATGTATATATAATATAATTGGTTTTTATTTTATTTATCATTTGCTCTTGCTTCTTGTATGATTGGTCTTGATTTTAGAGATATGGGAATGAATTTCTAGATGGTAATTTTGCGGATCTTTACCAGATAATGATGTTGTTGTGCCTTTGCATTTCTGCAGTTAAAGATGTAGTTTTGCAGTTGAGGCCACTTCTTTCCAAAAAGAAGCTGCTAGTTTCAATTGCTGCTGGAGTCAAATTGAAAGATCTGCAGGTCTCTCAGTTACAACTCTTCTTGCTTTTGATCTAAATTGACTATTTTTTTTTGGTCAACTATCTAAATTGACTATAGTCTATATGGATTGGCCAAAACACACTGTATTTTATTCATGAACCTCTAACTTCCAGTTTATCATTTTGAGTGAGTTCTTTTCAGTTTGTAAGAAAAGGTTATGTTCTGAACATATTAATTGATTTAAGTATTGTACACAGTGGAGCGAAAAGTTTATATTGGTGTGTGCTAAGCTATATATATATAAACAAACTCTACTCTTAAGTACTGCATAGATGTTTTCTTTTTTTAAGGAATCTGTATGGAAATACTATTAATAAGAAAGAAAGGATTCACGTAGCCATGGGACACAAACAGAAAAAGACAACAGGAAATAAAATGCTATGTAAATGTATGTAAGAGTTGGAGTGAACAGGTTATATATGTTTTCAAAGAAGAAAATTACATGTATAATTTTTTTTTTACACATTAGCCCACCCACATTTGCATGCCTCTCCTTTTCCCTTCCCACAAAATTAGTTCCACTCCTTTACCATTCCACACTGAGCAGCTCTTTTTCATCTTTCACTTCTCTTTTGCCTTTCTCTAAAGAATGACAGAGAGTAGACAGAGAGTAGGGAATTAACTTTTGTGAAGGTAAAAGGGAGGATAGAGGGCTGGGCTTAACTAACGTCAGTCTAATATACATGTGTAAATTCTTTTTTCAAATTCTAGCTAATTTTCAGCTCTGCTTGTGAAAAAGTCAATTATAAAAGAATGCATTTCTTTCCAGCTTCAAGCATCACCCTTTTCTTTGTCTAATGCAATAGATGAATAAATCTGTTGTTCTGTTCCACATTTGTTTTCCTTGCAGTGTCTGATGAATAAGCACATTACTGTTAACCAAGTTTCGTAAGAAAGTAGAATTATATTTACTATTTAGGGGAAATTTGAAGTCCTCAATGTTTGGTTCACTATATAAAGGATAAAAGGAATGATAAGTTAATAACAGAACAAACAATTTGATGAACTGAATGAGCAATATAGGCATGTTATCACCTGAGCATTCATTCTTGAATTTCAGGGTCTGGTAAATTTAGCCAGTTCTCACCCTTCAAAATTGTGACAACATAGTAACAAAAATTTAAGTTTCTTAACCATTTTATTTTTGAAAAGTAATCTTGGGCAGCTTCAGTAATTTGGGTTACTAGTTTTATGATTGCCGGAACACAGTATACTTTGTTTTGACCAGCATCTCTTGATAATAACTATAGTTACTGGACTGCATGCTCTTAATACCAGGGAAGCCTAATCCTGGAAATGACTTTTTAGCATCAAATTTGTTTAACATAAATAATTTTATTATTCTATACGTTAATCATAAGATTAAGTGTGATAGCTTCTCTAGTTTGTGCGCACTATCTCTTCCTGTTTGTTGATCCCCATGCTCTAAGTCCTTTGATTCCTACCACTGTACAAGTATATTCTTATTCTTTTTTTGGTCATTCATGCATGTAGTTCTATTTTAAACTTTAATGTATAACTTTTGAGTTCTTAATGTTATTGAAAATAAAGGGTTGAGACACCTTCAGTTTTTTTTTTAAATGTATTAACGGAATCGTTCTATCTACCTTAGGAGTGGGCTGGTAACAGCCGATTTATTAGGGTAATGCCAAACACTCCTTCTGCTGTTGGTGAGGCAGCATCAGGTACTTCTGTTATCCTTTCAATGGTTTATTCCTTGACTTAGAATAAAAACGAATAATGTCGAGTATACTATTATTTTTAACGTATCTGCAAACTGGCTTGGCACTGTTTTTTACGTTGTGAACCAAATTGTTATTTGCTTAAGTGAATATTTTCAGTGTGAACTTACAACGAGGTGCTCCGTGCAAATTTTCAGTTAAAAAAGTAAATCAATAGGTTTGGAGGATTCTTAAAACTAATATTCTTTTATGAAGCCATTTTTAAAGCAATATTTACTAAACTTCATGTTATACTTCTGCTGCCTATAGAAATAATAACTAGCAGCATTTGGTGTATTACACAAAAGTACTGTTTATTATTTTTTATTATTTTATTTTTTTTCTCTCCATAATAGTTTGCATAAAAGTTGGGAATATGACAGCTGGCCACCCTAGATCATGCTAGTATGACATGTTACAGTGGTGACAAGACTTGCGAAATGCTGTTTGTGGTAGTGCATTGGATTGATTGACATGTTGCTAGTATGGAATAAAAGGAAAATTGACACTTTTTGTTGCTTACGGGTAGTCTTACGTACCTTTTAATCTTGAAGTTTTCCGCTCGCTCATATTTACATTTTTCGTTGTTCATTTTCATATTGCTTTTAATTTGGTACGCCAAATTTGTATGAGTAGAATGAAAATGGTCATGCCTCTAATCCTCTGGTCACACAGTTTTGAGCTTGGGAGTAGGTGCAACAGAACAAGATGGAGACCTAATAGCTAAATTATTTGGATCAGTAGGAAAGACGTGGAAAGCTGATGAAAAATTGTTTGATGCAGTTACTGGCGTTAGGTATGTGACTTTGCGTCGCAATAAAAAATGATGCTGTTCATTCTCCACTGCAGAATATCTTTTACTTATCTCTTGTTGCAATCAGAGATCTTTCTTTCAAATATACTCTTAATGTATCTTCCAAAGAGATTCCTAGGTTTGTTAATCATGCATTTTCATCCCAATAATTGTAATAATTTTAGATATGAAGTCATAGATTCTGGTTTTATTGATACCTTTTATAAACATACAGTGGCAGTGGTCCTGCATATATATATTTGGCGATAGAGGCTTTGGCAGATGGAGGAGTTGCTGCAGGTCTACCTCGAGAACTTGCACTGGGTCTAGCATCTCAAACTGTAAGTCTGCTTACATTGCATGGTGTTTTAGTACTCAACCAGTCATGTGACATCATCACACCATCGTGTATTTATGTCTATTTGTCACAATTTGTAACAATGTAGGTCTAGATAATCCCTTTACTTTTAAAATTTAAACCTTCACCAACAAGAAAAAGTTTTTAAAGAACTGAAATAGTTTCTAACTCTCAACTGCCTTCGGATTGATTTTGGTGGCTTGAACATCCGAAACACATTTTAAAAAATCCCTTTCTTTTCAACGTCAAGAGTTCATATTGTATTTGCTGGCTGTTCATAATGTGTCGTCACTTTGGTTTATTTTTTCTTCAATTCCGAATTGTGAGGATAGCCAATTCTTTGCTTCCCTTTGCAGGTATTAGGAGCAGCATCTATGGTTACTAGTACTGGGAAGCATCCAGGTCAGCTAAAGGATGATGTAACATCACCTGCTGGAACTACTATTGCTGGCATTCATGAGCTGGAGAAGGGCGGGTTTCGTGGAATACTGATGAATGCAGTCCTCGCTGCTGCCAGACGCAGTCGAGAATTTTCGCAGAGCCAGTGAGGGATATTCTTATATCAGATGAGCTTTTGGCCCTTCCTTTTCATAGCGCAGGGGATAGAATTCATTTCCAGAGAATCTTATAGATTCTTATATATTGTCCCTTGCTACAATATGCTGAATTAGAGTTTGATTGAAATAATGTTTTCAAGATTGGACTACAGGTAGAATCTGAACAAAACTATATTTTTTGCCTAATTGGTATGGAATCTTTTGATTTGTGGCAATGAATATATAACAATAGCAGTAGGTGTAGACTAACTCTGCATTGAGGAATATTCGTTCTCCTTCAAAATTTGTCCGCATTTCTTTCAACCTCTTCTCGCTATGACGAAAAGGAGAGGAGTGCCTGGAAACAGACTTTCGAACCACGCTCTTTGGAGGAAGAGTTCTCAGTGGTCTTTGCCTAACAAAGACACACAGATTATTTTCAAGTGTGAGGACTAGGAATACGTCCCAGAGCCATCTTTTAAAATGAAGATGAGATTATCAAATAAAGGATTTGGTATACGAGTTGATAAGATGCGTCTCTTCCACTGCGCTAAAGCAGGCACTTTGAAAATACAGAGCGCAAAAGGAAGACAAATTCAGAATAAATTTGCTTCCAATGATCCTATACATCAGCTAGAAGCTTAATACCAAAGATCCATAGTGTTCCCAGAATTCTCCGAAGTCACAGAAATTTGGAGAAGTACTTTGAGCCAAGGGTAGTGGCAATGGGCCCTATCAATCAATGTAAGTGCAAAGAAGCGGATGAACTCAAATACATATTGGCGGCAGACTTTATCCATGATAGCGGCCAGAAAGATGAAGATTTGTACAAGAAAATTAAGGACTGCGTCAAGCTCCAAATATTCTAATTTTCAACAAAACCATTTGTATTATCTTAACTTCTTAAGCAATTATGTGTTAAACAATCCCCCTTAAACATCTGAGGCCCCACTTCTATATGTATTTTGTGAAGCATCAGATGAGCACATCATTTCGTAGTCATTTACTAAAGAAAGCCACATTTAAACGAGTCCAATTTTCCTGTTACCAAATCCCCTATGTCCCCCTGTTTCCTCCTTATTCTTGTGACATGTGGCACACAACTTAACAATAATTTGACCTTGTAGTTTCCATACAAGCACATTTATTTTAGGCAAAAAGTCACTTTTGGTCTCTGTAGTTTGGCACTTCAACCACTTTTGACCATGTAGTTTCATATTTGTAGCAATTCAAGGACAAGTTAGTATTATTGTCAATTTCTTTGACGATGCAAGGGGCAATTTAGTGAACTCAAAATCCTTGAGCATAAAAGCTCATCTGAAACTCCCATAATTTCATATTAGGGTTCGAAATTCAACCACTAATCCCAATTTTTGAAGAACCCTAAATCCAAATGGCCAATTTCAAGCCCTAATATGAAATTAGGGGAGTTTCACACGAGCTTTTATGCTCAAAGATTTTGGGTTGACGAAATTGCCCCTTGCATTGTTAAAGAAATTGACATGAATACTAACTTGTTCTTGAATTGCTACAAATATGAAACTACATTGTCAAAAGTGGTTAAAGTGCCAAACTATAGGGACCAAAAGTGACTTTTAAGCTTTATTTTATGAATTTATTTTATACAAATTTATAAATAAACCCAATCCTAGACATGTATTTATAAAAAAACCCAAGCACTATTTAAACATAGAAATACACCCAAAATCAACAATTGTATATTTTTTGGGTGTGTTTATAAATGGGTTTTCAGTGTGTGTAATGATGGGTTTTGGGTGTGTTTATAAAGTGTTTTGGGTGTGGGTTTTTTTATAATTTCAACCCCCATTTCGGGTGTTTTAGTGAAACTCCCTTTATTTTATCACATATTTATTTTTATTTAAAGTATGGTGCTGTCCATACAACAAACAATTTATTTTGTGAATTTATTTTACAAGTTTATTATGATGAGTGTTTACTAGAAATTAGGACTTGAAGTTCCTTGATCCTCATCATACAACTACATCATGACTTGAAGATCCTTGATGATGATAATAATATGAGAACTAGCAGACTCTTTGATACTATATTTGTGAAAAAGTGATCGAACCTGAAAATCCTTGATCCTTGACCTGTAAATCAGGATATGAAGTTCCTTCATAATCTAGCAGTATTGTATCGATGAGTAGTACTGTACACATAAATAGTAACTGTATTGCAAATGTACTATATGTATGAATAATCCGTATTCATGAATTGATGAATAGTAATTGTAATAGTAGCCATTTTGATGAACCATTGCTATATACAATTAAGGGACATGAAGTTCCCTAAACTCATGAATGAGCAACTAAATGAGAGGCCAAAAGTTCATCAAGACATGAACAATTAAGTGAGGGCCAAAAGTCCCGAAATATGAACATGAAGTTATAAGAATGTCCATATCATGAGAATAGGCCTGAAGTTCACAATCTAAAAAGTGTTGAAAACATAAAGTTCTAACAATTAAGTGGACAATCCTTGAGGTAATATTGCAAGTTGTGGCACACCACATATTTCTTTGGCACAAGAAAATGATGAATTTAGCAAAGATTGATTTTATTACAATTGACACCTCAAGGAATAACTACATTTTATGATTCTGGTTGTTAAAAATTCACCCTGAAGTCAATAACATCAGGATAAACCTCAAGGGATGAATTGAGGCTCCCTATATTTTGTTATATAATATGATCTGGACTGGAAGCCCATGGATCTCAATGTATCATAAATCCTAAACTTGAAGTTTTGGGTATATAGTAGTTAATGCTCTTCACTACTATATTGCAGTATTATTATGGCTCTTCCTCAATTTATATTTTATGCCTATTTGAAAAAGGTAATTAAAATTCTGAGGTTGTGTTTAACACGAGCTAGAAGTTTTGACACACACACATTGAAATATATAATTTGAGAGATTTAATGTGGTTATTTGAACCTATAAGGCAAATAGTTCTAAACCGTCATTTTGAAATAACGTGCAAACCACAAGTGCAAGTTTAAGAATTTGCCCAATTATTTAAACAAGAAAAGAGATTCTTGTCGTGAACTGTTCAAAGCCAGACACATATCTATGAATAGAAAATGTTGTGTGAGTATCACATATTTATGTGGAACTTTTGAAAATTAAAATTTTCTTGGGGCCAAATTGTGAATTTGATGTCATTGAATGAGACTGGATGTTAGATTGCATTTTTGGTTTGGAAGTGTCAGGGAGCCCCGGAGCTCGCACATCCTTCACGGCTGAATACAAGAGTGGAGCGGCCGGGTCCAAGTTAGAAGGTCCCAGATATTGAATTTTACGAATAGAGTGTGATGCATGTGTGATAATATGAATTGAATTTATTTTTTTGGTCGAAATGTGATAATATAGAATTGGTGATTGAAAAAGAAGGGTAAAAATATATATAAATAACGAAAATAAAAACTTAAAACTTAAAACAAATTAACTATCAAACGAGCGCTTAACGTATGAATCCTCCATTAATATTTGTCTCCTCATTCTCACATGTATCACATTTATTCTTGTTATAGGAAGATATTACTTTGTTACCTCACATGAAAAAAAGTCATCGCATATGCCAAACGTGAAATGAAGGTAAATTGAAATCCAAAGTTTTGCAAAATATATATACCAAGCTTAGAAAGGGTCCAACTATAATACCCAGCTCCCTTGCCGACAAAGTGCTATTATTTGCAAAATATAAATCCAAAGTTATTCCAAACTTGAAATTAAGTTAAAGTGAAATCCAAAGGTTTTGCAAACTTTATAATATTCCTAACGCTTAAGTTATTTTTGCTGATCGGTCAAGTCATATTATATAAGAGAGAACTACCTTACTTTTAAGACAGGAACTTTGAAAATACAAAGCGCAAAAGGAAGACAAATTAGGAAGCGAAATTTGTTTCCAATCACCAGAGCAATAAAATGCCTGATTCTATTAAAAGCCAGACGCAGGTTTATGAATAGGGATGTTGTGCGAATATCACATATTTATGTGGAACTTAAAAGATAAAGTTTTATTCGGACCAAATTGTGAAATTGATGTCACGGAATGGACGTGAATGTATGTATAGTGAATTTTTGGTCTGGAGGTGTTGAGCATGGTCAAAGGGCCTTGGGGCTCGTACTACGTCCGTAGTTGAATGCAAAGAGTTGAGCAGTCGGGTCCAAATTAGAAGGTCCCGTATATCAAATTTTGGGACTCAAGTGCGATACATGTGTGATGATGTAGAATTTGTGAATGAGCAAGGAGTTCAAAAATTAAACTTATAAAAATCGCCCTTATTTTGAAAACTGTTCTAAAAAATGTTTCAATTTTCAGTTTTCAAAAAAAGTGAAAATTTAAAAAAAATTGGTTATCGAAAGAGCCCTTAAATTATGAGTCCTCCATTACAATTTGTATATTAACATGTAGGGAGATTCTCCAATAAATATTTTATGTTAAGGGTTGGTTACATGCTTCTAATCTTGGTTATTGGATTGCATTCATTAAATGTGTTGGTAGTCTCTTGAATGCAATCCAACGATTAAGATTAGAAGTATGTAACTAATCTTTAACTTAAATACTTATTGGAGAATGAAAAATATTAGAAAAAGTGGGGCCCAAGGCTTGTCCTGCCTTAAGAGTATGACTCTTCCATAGGGTCTACACAGAAATATACTTCTCACATGTATGTATGACATTTATTCTTCTATGAAATCTAAAGTAAAAGTGAAATCGAAAGTTTTGCAATATATATACCAAGTTGAAGTAAAAAAGGGTCCAAATATAATACCAAGCTTCCTTGGAGATAAAGTGTGTTATTCTTCTATGCTTTTGCTGATCGATCGAATCATATTATATAAAGACAAAATTGCCTTGCTTATTAAACAAACTAAGAAGAAATTTGCTTCCAATTAGCAGAGCATTAAAATGGCTGATTTCACTTCAGCTAAAAAAGTGAGCATTAAAATGCTTGATTCTGTGGAGCAGGGAGTTGATAAACTGAGG